ATTATTTTCATTAAATATGTACCTAATTATTGTAGTTTCAATTGTCTTTCAGCTTTATTTTGTTTCCTCTGCCTTATTTGGTTAGTAATTATGTCTTTCATTTTTGTTGTTCAGTTTTTACTCTTTAATTGTATTTTTATATTTATCATTTATATTTACCATTTATATTATTACCATGTATATACGTCCTTATTCTTTTTATATATATTATTTGTATTTTTACATATATTATTTATATTTTTTGTTATTGTAAAATGTCTTTTTTTATAGTGGATTTCGATCTGTAAATAAATAAATAAATAAAAACCAAACTGCCAAAAACGCAGATCCATCAGATAATAGGTTAAAAATAAGCTGGGAATGTAACCCAGGAAGGAAGAATACAAAAAAATTCATCCATGGCCCATCGCAGAAAATAATGATAGAATTACTTAATCTAGGACATGTTAGGACTAGAATAATAGTTGAACTGCAGACCACATATGAGTAGACTTGGAGCAGTAGAAACAAGCCTGTACAGATATTGCCAGGAAGATAAAGATTCAATGGGACATGTCTTCTGTTGGTGCGAAGGCTTATATAGGTTAAGATTTCTTCTGGGAGAGGAAAAGTCCAGGTCTGAAGGATTCACATGGTTGTTGAACTAGCTTTGGGCCTGTTAAAAAGCCTTGAGTTTAATAAGAAGCTCTGGACAATAATAAATCAATACCGGTCGCGGTGTGCAGGTTGTAAAGAGGCCGACCATAATTAATCTACTCATTAAGTTGGCCTTTAAATTTTATAATTAAAAATATTTTATGACTGATGGATGGTCCTTCGTGAACCTGAGAACATGACATGAACACCCTATATTTTTTATGCATTGTGTCTTATATAAAAGAATGCATTGGATATTCTCAATATGAGGTTAGTTTTGGAGGACATCAGTGAATTTATCAGTTGGGTTTTGTTTTGAAGAATGAATTTTAAGTAGAAGAGAAAAGAAAAGAAAAACTTTTATTACATGTTAATATAACAGTAAAGATTATTATTAATATATACATAATTATGACAAATCATGCTCTTTGCTTTCTTGGGATTTATTTACTTTAAGGGTTACTTTAAGTTAATGTTGGTGAATGTATTTATTAGCCAAAATGTTCAGTGTGAAAGAGTATTATAGCTGGGGGTTTACGTGCCCATTCTTTTCTATTTTAGATTAATAATAAGATAATTTAGATACCAAAATAGCATAAAGAAATTGGTACAAAAATTTAAAAAATATAACGTTGGCCAATTCTGTTTGGAGTTTTTAACTTTTTTTTATCACTTTCAAGTTATTAACTAGAAAATATGATTTAAAAAAAAATAATATTATTTTTTATGTCAATATTTATATTTTGCTGGTCTTGAAATTTCAATTACCACAGATTTCGCTATGTTATGGAATTTTTCCAGCCTAAGATGTCAAAATTGTGCATCATTACCTGGAAAAACTCCATAAAATAGTGCAACTTGAGATAATCCATATTTATTTTTAGTTTTAGTAGGTGTATTAACATTAAAATAACACAATTCAAAATTTCAATGATTATTTTTTTACTTTTATTACTTACAATTTATGATAATTACATTCAAACATTTGTGCCTTTTGTTTGAATGTAATTATCATAAATTGTAAGTAATAAAAGTTCAAGCATGGAAAGTAGAAAAAAAGGGTTTAATTTCCTATTTGATAAGAAAATCAATTTTAAGATATCTTAGTGCTTGAACATGCTTCTAACTTCCATAGTTACTTGTAAACAGTTCATCCGCGAAGTGTTGGCATTTACGAAATCCCGACAATGGGAAAAAAGAACAAAGGAGGGAGCAAAAAGAAACAAAGCAAAGAAGTCAAAGACACCTTGCCGGAGGTTGACAAGGAATTTTACGAAATACAAATCGCTGATTTGAACAAAAAGCTGACAAGGTAGTACAATGGAAAAATGTGGCTGTTTTAGCGAATCGCGAGAATATTTTTGTCAGCAGTTTGATGATTACTCATCATCTTTGTATTCCCCTGTCTTAAATTCTACACAAGACTTCATGTCTTAAATTTTTGGACTCCACCGATCGGCTATGGATACGCAATGATTACTAGTCAATTTTAATCAATCTGCTGATTATTTTTAAACAAATTGCAAACAATAAATTACCATTTCACAAATATTATGCACAGCTTTATTATTTTTCATTAGTTATTTGTAACAGTGAGAAAATTCACACCGTATGACAAAACAGAAATATTGCTTTTATAAGCATATTCTGTGAGAAACTTTTAAAATAGTCCAGCGAAGGAAAGTAGAAAATTGAAACACTGATTATTAAGAGAAGAATTTGTAAATTACACTTTGCATAAATAGCCTACAATTTGATATGAGCACTATTTAAATACAGTTTCAAAAATAATCTACAGGTTGAAATTTCATCTTCAGTATAACACATTTTCTGACCACATAAAACAGTTCTTAAATTTAAAATTATAGGAAAAAATTTAGAAACTTTTGGTCAGATTATAAAAAAATAATAATAAATACAAAATTATAATAATAAAAATAATTACAAAATTTGATTACACACTTAACAGGAATAAAGACATTTTTGTATCAATATATTTGTTAATTTTAAATGTATTATTCTACAATACAAAGTAATAATAAACATTTGTGTATAAATTCGTTTAATTGATTTATTACCATATACATATATATAATACTTTATTGCTCAGTGACTCTCACTTTCTTTCTCTCTCTCACTCCCCCTCTCTTTGTCAAATTATGTCTTTCTGTCTGCTTTTCTCTTTAGTCTCCTCTTATTCTTTCTTTGTGCTCTCTCTCCAACTTTCTTTTTCTTCTCAAGCTCTCTCTTTTTCTCTGTGGTCTCTTTGACTCTCTTTCTCTTTATCTATATAAATATTTTCTCCCGCCTTTCACTTTTTCCTCTGGTTCATCATTCTCTACTTCTCACTGCCTCTCTTTCTATTACATTTTCTCTCTCTCTCTTTGTCAATCTCATATCTATGTATTTCTGCCTGTTTTTTCTCTTTCTTGTTTTTCTTTCTCTTCTCTTTTTTTTCTTTCTCTCTCTCTAACTTTCTTCTCTTCCCTTTCTATCTCTTCTCTTTATCTCTTCCTCTTTTCTCTCTTTATCAATCTATCTATGTATTTATGCCTATTTTTTCTCTTCCTGTTTTTCTCTCTCCTCTCACTTTTTCTTTCTTTCTCTCTCTCTAACTTTCTTTCTCTTCCCTTTCTATCTCCTCTCTCTCTCTCTCTCTCTCTTCCTCTTTTCTCTCTTTATCAATCTATCTATGTATTTCTGCCTGTTTTTTCTCTTTCTTGTTTTTCTCTCTCCTCTCTCTTTTTCTTTCTTTCTCTCCCTAACTTCCTTTCTCTTCCCTTTCTATCTCCTCTCTTTCTCTCTTCCTCTTTTCTCTCTTTATCAATCTATCTATGTATTTCTGCCTGTTTTTTCTCTTTCTTGTTTTTCTTTCTTTCTCTCTCTCTAATTTTCTTTCTCTTCCCTTTCTATCTCCTCTCTCTCTCTTTGACTTTCTTCTCTTCCCTTTCTATCTCCTCTCTCTCTTTCTCTATGCTCTCTGTCTGAGACTTTTTCTCTCTATCTATATAACTATTTTCTCTTGCCTTTCACTTTTTCTCTTGTTCATCATTCTCTCCCTCTCACTGTCTCTCTCTTTTCTATCACCCCCTCTCTCTTGTCTGTCCATCTATGTCTTTCTATCTGCTTTTTATCTTTTGTTTCCTCTCTTTCTCTCTCAGTCTATCTATGTCTTTCTGTCTGTTTTTTCTTTTGTCTCCTCTCTTTCTCTTCCACCTCTCTCCTTTCTTCCACTTCTCATTCTTTGTCAATTTATCTATGATTTTCTGTATGTTTTGTTCTCTTTTATCTCCTTTCTTTCTTTCTCTTTCTCTCTGTTTAATTTTCTTTCTCTTCTCTCTCAATCTCTTTATCCCTCCTCTCACTCGTTCTCTATGCTCTCTCTCTATCTATACAACTATTTTCTTCTGCCTTTCACTTTTTTCTCTCGTTCATCGTTCTCTCCCTCTCACTTTCTCTCTCTCTCTTATTTTGTCCTGCCTCTCACTTTCTTTGTCTCGCTCTCACTCTTTATCTAAACAGCTCTATTTATTATTTGTTAATTTGTTGAAGTGAGAAGCGGTCCGATTCGGTCTATACATTATTATTTTAAGAATTATAAACCTTTTCATATGGTCAAATCGTGAGATTTTTTGGAATATTTTTTTTTTTAAATTACCATGAAACATGGTCAAATTTGATTGTTTATTAATCTATAAGACATTTATTTAGTAATTACATTTACAATATTAAATTGTATATTGTCGTTTTTTTTATTTAAGGAAATAAAGTTAACACGTGGTATTTTAATATTTATCAAATCAATTGTTTTTAATTTTTAGGCTTTTTTTAAGTTAAGCGCAAGCGTCTTATTTATTTATATCGTTAGTTTATTAATAAATCTAGCTTATTATAGAGTAATATTAATATATCAAGGCCGAAAGGAGACGCTGACCTCTCAAAGGATTCACAAAAAGACGAATCACTTTGAGGAAAGTACTTTTGTGAGAATCAGACCGGAAAGCATGGCCTTGCTCATTGCGCTCCCACGGTGCTGTCCTCAACGAGAACGACGCACGTTTTGACACTTTTCACAGAACTTTAAATTTTATGAAATTTTATAAGAGAAAAATTCCGTTTATAAAATAAAAATGTACCACCTGGTTTTTTCATATCTGAACATATTGCTTATACGGAAAATCTTATAAAGGAAATAAATGGATAAAGCGGTTCTCCATCGAAAATGAACGTTCCTTAAATTATTTGATAAATTCGTCTGGGATTAAGCCCACGTGTAAATTCTTCAACTATCTCTTACACATGAAATATATAAGGCCAACCGTCCCTAACATGTGTCAAAAAAGTTATTTCTTAAGTATTTCCGATATTTTGTTAAGTAGTAGAAGATTTGTTGTATATGTTCCATCGTTGAAAAATGGGTCCCAAAAAGAAAAAGGGAAACAAATCGGGGGCATTGAAAAAAAAGTTGTCTGCCGCAAGAAAGGCCTTTTACACTTTCCAAGTCAAAGAACTTCAAAAATATATAGGAAGGCAAGAAATATTTCAAATATGGCAAAACTTAAGCCTGAATATATAATAAAACCAAAATATACGAGCATTTCAAATTTGATTAAAATATTGCCATTTCAGATTGAAATCCTATTCGATCCAGTTAGAAAATCAAAATGAAGATTTACGAAAAGAACTTGAAGTACTTGACACCGACAGGGCAGATGTCATTTCTTTGCTTAAACGAAGACTCTCTGAAAAAGACGAAGAGCTGAAGCAGCTCGAAGAAAGGACTGAATCTCTTCAAGAGGTATCATTAAAAAAAAAAACCTAAAATATTTACTTTACTTTTCCATTTTTCATTAAAGGCGAAAGATTCAGAGAAGAAATTTCTAAAAGGTGTTATAAAACAAAGAGATACCGAACATAAACAACTTTCAGAACAATTAATTTCTGAAATAAAGTTACTCAGTGAGTATATATATTTTTTAAATCAGTTTCTTGGTTTATTTTCTGCATGTGGGCTCACTTTACCACTGACCACTCAATTACATCCATCAGTGCCACAGGGTGGTATCATCGCGTCCTCCCTTGAAACAACTAATGTGCTTTTCTGAAAACTCGATTTACTTATTACTTCATCCTAAAATCCTACCTGTCTGGAACAAGCTAAAAAAAAAGTGGGTGTTCTGCAAGGCAATTTCCTTAGTCCCATTCTTTATTTAGTGTACGTTGTAGACTTCCTATCAATCTATATAGTACTTTTCACATATGCAGACAGTTCAATAGTGGCCTTCAGAAACCTCCAGGATCATCTCTTCTGTTTGGAAGAATGGTTTAAGATAAGACTCAACAAAGCTAAATTCCAGCAAATAACTTCACCCTTTGTCATATCAGCAAGAAGGAACTTCTTGCTGCACCAATATCCAATATTCGGGACTTAATAACGACTCAAAAGACTAATCGACAAAAGTTCTAAAAATCTGGAAATATGGAATCAGACTGTGGGAAACATTCAAGTGTTCCCACTTCAAAAAAATTAAGTCATCTCAGTCCAAAATCCTTCGAACCATTGCCTCAGCATTTTAATTCATATCCAACCTAGCCACACAGACCTCCAAATCTCTTCTCGCATCATGAAGTCCTACATAAAACCCCAGACCCTAATCCTAACCCACTAGTCCAATTGATCACAATTCTGAACCGCTTTATAATTTTTTTGTGGATTTCAAGCCTGAACAAGTGAGGCAAATACAAACCATACACCCCTGGCCACATTGGTTCTAAAAATTCTAATACATTTTCTTTTTTCCAGATGGAAAGTTGAACTCCCTCGAGGAGTATAAACTTCATAGAGATGAGTTAATGGCAAAATTCGGGGTACAGGAGGAAGCATTAGAAGAACAAGAAAGAACACACAAAAGAACTGTTTATGAAATTGAAAAAAAATTCATCATAAGCAAAGATAAGTAAGAAGAATCAATATTTACAATTTGTTCTGTTATTAATTTTTTTCTTTTATAACACAGATTAAGGAAAGATATGGAAGAAAGACTGTTGAAACTTTCGTTAGATTTCAAGAAAGCAACGCAAATAAGAATCGCGTCAACAACTCAAAGTGTTATTAGAGAAAACATTGCAATTAATAATGAAGTAAGCATATTAAACAAAATGTATGACTGGTTCATTCTAGCTATACCATGTAGGAATAATTTTAAGAAAATTATTTTGTAAGATTGGTCTGCAAGACGATAAGTCGTAGTTTGGTCATTTTTGATCACCATTGCCAAACTCATGACAAAACCAGCTCAAGGAAGATAGATGATCAAAGTATGATTATTTTTGTTTAAATCTTCATTTCAGTTATATAGACTTCATTAAGTAAAGTAATTCTATACAGGAGGGCTTAAAGTTGTGGACAAGCGGTCAAATCACTGCATATTATTCTCAATTAAAATTACAAGGGTTATGCTGGGATTTGAACCCCAGTGTGGCAAATATGTCGGCTGCGCTAACCATTTTTCTACTGTGGTTCCCTTGCCGCTTGGCCGTTACTATTATGACTTGTTAATAAGGCATTCTATAATTTCAGTTGTCACTTTTGATCGGTTCATGGCAAAAATTATTCGATGAAAATGAAGCATTAAAACTGAAAAACAAAGAACTTACGAATGAAGTAGATTTAGCAGAAAATCAAAAGACAATGGCTCTAAATCGCAATGTCGTCCAATCTCAGGTGATTATAAATATTGGTCCGATTCTAAGGCAAAAGAGCAAAACAAAAGAATTCGACAATATATAATATTGATTTAGACAAGAAAAAAAAAAGTTTAAACTTCTAGGTGATAAACCGTTTGGCACAAGAGCACCAGCAGATACTGAAAAGTTACGAAGAGGTCCAACAATACAAAAGGATAATAAAATCTCTAGAAGACAGGATTCAAGATCAAGAAACGAAACGCCGCTGCGCTGAACAGCACGAAAACGAACAGAAACAGTCCAAAGAAAAAGTCCTGGCCCAACTCCAAAGCAAGACGAGAGAATTCAACGAATTGTGCAACGTGAACCATGTATTGGAGAAAAAACTCAAGATTACTATATTAACAATCAAGCAGATAATCGATGTAAGGTTTTTATTTAATTTATTTATTTAAAATAAATTCTAAAGAACAATTTTTAAATTTTTACCTGTGTTTTTAGCTTCCAAAAAGGAAAAGTAAAGGTGGCATTAATGATGAACAAGAGAGAGAAGAGAGAGATCACCTGTTGAAGTACATACTGGATTTGTTTGATTGTGACGATCTCACAAGTGACGTTCCTGATCTTAGAAATGCTTCGTATGTAACAAATAATTTTAATTTTTGAATTTTAGTTTATCGATTGTAATTTTTTAGGGTTGAGACACTGTACGGACTAGAAAACAAATTCAGGCGTGGTGATTTGGGATTATTCCAGAAAAGAGCACCTTTCAAAGGCAAAGGCAGCCCATCGGCGGCAATGCCTGCATCAACCAGTGTCCAAAAAGCTTAAAAAAACATTTAAAAAATAAAATTTTGCTAGTAATATAGAAAATATTTGAATCGTTATAAAATTAGGTAAAATCTAAAAGAAAAAAAAAATTTATTTCTTTTTATTTACAATGTTATCCATCTTATGAGAAGCTTTGACAAATTTTTTAACTTTAGATTTCTTCATTCTGGAATAAAAATAAAAATGTGAGAAAAATCTGTGAACGGTTATTAATAAACAAGAAACTAGGACTTACGGGAGTTGTTTGGTACATGGAACGAGGACGTTTCTTTTCTGCAAACTGTAGAAACGGTCGAGAAGAAGGTTTCCTTCGCGTTTCATCAATCTTAGACTTCCCCGAAGATCGGTTTGCCTATTGAATTCCAGATCAGGCTCCTCGAAAAGTTTAGCGCCCAATCTTTTAGTTTTTCCGACGTTTTCGATAGCCCGATTTTTCTTTTTTTCTTGTTTTTTTACAGATTTTTCCTCTGCCTTTTCTAAATCGGTTTTGATGAATCGCAATCTACAAAACAAAAAGACCATTATGATACAATAAATTTTTACACTCTCGTTAAAAATAATACTTGTGTATATCAGCAATTTTCTTCTTTTCAACTTTTGCATATTTTCTCATTAGTGCTGCTTGTTTTTCTTCCTTCTGCTTCCTCTTTTGCTTCCTGGTTTTCATTTTTGTGGGCTTTACTGGTGGTTTGGTTTCTTTATTTTCCCCTTCATCCTCTGTCTCTTCTTTAACCTCAGTTTCCATTTTAAAAAGCCCTTCTGTCAATTCATCAAGATGCATTTTCTACAATAAAAAAACTGTTATTTTTTTCCCTTTAAATTCAATTTACATATTTACATCTCTCTCTTGTGGGGAAACTTTGTTAAAAGCGTCTGTCGTGACTCTCTTAATGTGTGCCTCTTCCTTCAACTTATCGCATTCTTTGTCAATAACGATTTGTAAAAGATCTTTATGATCTTTTATTGAAGGATTGTAGGATATCCCTGGGTGAGGGTTTTCAATGGCGGGGATGACTGACTTCTTAGTACGCAGACTCTTTGGAACTTTTACCTTTAAGGCATTTGTGTTTGTGAGAGTGTGCCTTACTGTGTCTTCAGTAAACCATTCGTTGTTCTTAACCTCGTTTTCTACAAATAAAAAAAAAGTTGTACAATTTTTTTTATAAATATCTATATCCACTATTACCTTCTTTTTCTGTCCAGATGTCTTTGTTGAAAACATGCTCAGTTGGTTGTTCTTTCTTTTTTTTCAGCGTAAGCGATCTCTGTTTTTTTGCATCGAGTTCTTTTTTTGAAATGAACCCTTGGCTCCTTTTATAAAATTTAAAATATTTCCTGATAGAACTCATACGCTCAATTTTTGTCCTTACACGATTTCTGGAAGAAACAAACGATTCATGTTGCACTTTTTTACTGCTGATCTTGAGTGTAAAAAATATACACTGAAATCTTCTGTTGGGTGAAAATTGCATACATTTCAAAAATTAAAAGGTTTTTTGACCATGTAAGTCAATAAATGACATTTGTTGATTATTATGTCATGAACATCCAGACAATCATACGGAATGTAAATCGTGAATTTTCAGACATTTGTGCTTTAGTCATCAAATTCCAAATATGATAGGTATGTAAGTCATAAACTTTTGGTCATTGCTAGGGTATAAGTCATAAGATGTCACACAGGAGGGCGTCTAACTACTTGTTGGGTGTCTTGGACGATTGGTCAAACCGCTTTCCAATAAATTTTTTATACTACACATTATCAATTAAAAAAGTATAGTCTCTGCTTGACTTGAAAAAAGAACCACTACCTTGGGAAATATGAGTCGGATACCCAAGCAATTGGCCTCCGTCCCAAGGTAGGCAAGTCTAAACTTCCTTACACATCTGTGGACTATGTAAGTCATGACTTTTTTTATTTTGTACACTATGTAAATCATAACTTCAGGATATTTGCAGAATATGTAAATCATGAACTTTCAGATATTTGTAAGCTGGGTACATATAAACGTGACATTTGTACAGTAAGCAAGTCCTGAGCATTTTGATAATTGTAGAATATTCACTAGTTTTTGTGGTCCACTTGACAAATTGTAAATTGTAGAATCACTTCAGGATATTCATAGTGTTTGTAAAACGTGAAATTTCTGACATTTGTAGAGTATGTAAATCGTATCTTCTACGAATATCCAAATAATTAACTTTATGACATTTTGATGGTGTGTAAGTATAACCTTACTAACATTTGTAAAGTATGCAAGTCCTGAGCATTTTGATAGTTGTAGAATAAGTAGGCCGTGACTTCAGTGTTTGTAAAACGTGAAATTTCCGACATTTAGACAGTATAAGTGGTGAAATTCCATGACATCCATAGGATAGGTACGTTATCAACATCCTCACATTTCTGGAGTATGTAAATCATAAATTCAAGATATTCATAGAATATATATGTAAATCGTGGACTTTCAGGCATTTGTAGGGTGTGTAAGTATAAATTTCCGGACAGTTGTGGAGTATGTAAATCGTAACTTCAGGGTATTTGTAGAATATGTAAATCATGAAATTTCAGGCATTTGTAAGGTGTGTCAGTATAAACCTCCTGACATTTGTGGCGTATATAAATCATAACTGCAGGATATTCGTAGAGTATGTAAATCATGAACTTTCAGATATTTGTAGAGTGTGTAAGTATAAACATCCTGACATTTGTGGAGTATGTAAATCATGACTTCATGTAAGTATAAACATCCTGACATTTATGGAGTATGTAAATCATGACTTCGTGTAAGTATAAACCTCCTGACATTTGTGGAGTTGTAAATCATAACTTCAGGATATTTGTAGAATATGTAAATCATGAACATTCAGATATTTGTAGAGTGTGTAAGTATACTGACATTTGTGGAGTGTGTAAAGCCCGAGTGTTTTGACAGTTGTAGAATATGTAGGCCATGACTTCAGGATATTCATAGAATACGTAAAACAAGAAATTTCAACATTCATGTAGTATTAAGTTGTCAAATTCCATGGCCTCTGTGGGATAGGTATCATATCGATGTACCGACATTTGTAGAATATGTAAATCGTAACTACCCAAATCACGAACTTTCTGATAATGAGAATTTAAGTTACGATTAGTTAAATGATCATGGTTGGTTTGATTTTCTGTCAATATCTGCATACTGGGTCTTTTCATCTGAATTTTACTGTGTATTTTTGACCCTTTGTTTATTAGTTTAATGAGAAATGTCTTCTATAATTTTGACGGTCTTGTGTCTCAATGAGTTGCGATGGCTATTAAGCTAAGATGTGAGGTTTTTCACTTAAACTCGGTTGTTTGGGTTAGAGGGGAATTGGGAATCTGTTCTTTGTGTAATTCGCGTTCTATTGAAACTGTATCCCACTCCTTGGCGGAGTGTTCATCCCTGGGTGACATTTGAACATTGTTTCACTCTCCCCAGAGTTGACCTGTTACGATTTTTGAGTGGCTCAAATTCGCGGACCTTAATTCGTTACACTAGGCATGCATGGAACTACAGATATGAGTTAATTGAAGAGTTTAATTTTTGATTTATTGTATAACCTGTTTTTCTATTCTCTCTTTGTCATTTTAACAGTTGTTATTTCTCTTCTTTCAATTTATTGCCTAGGCTATAATTATTATCTTACTTTGTTGTGTATTTTTTTCATTTTTGATTGTTTAACCAACGACCTCTGGCAGATGGATCCAAGATCCATGTCCTTAAATGCTTTGTAATCACAATTGTCATTTTTTTTTCTTTAGTTCAATAAAGAATTATTATTATTATTAAATGTCTTCTAGAGAGAGGTCTGCGCAGTGAACCTGCAGCTTGTTCCTAACCCAAACCAGTCACTGAATACGACAAAATGCTGCAATGTCTGACCAAAATTTGATACGACCAAGATACAGGTTTATCGCTCTGCAGACCAAGAACGAAAAAATTGCAGAATTTGTTGATGAACATCCTGACTTTTTATACTTAAAACTTATAAATACTGTAAGATGTAGCTTGTCATACCTTTTTGTTATAGGGTCTGGGACTGCTGTAAGAGGCTGGAGAAGTTTAAAGCATGTCGGAGGAAGTTTGGCCTTCTCCTTCTTTGACAGGGTCTTAATCTGTGCAGTATCATTTTCCTTGTTAGTTTTCGTGTCGATGACGAACAGTTCCTTGTCTTTTCTCTCCTTCACAGGTCCACTGTAAATTAAAACAAGGTTTTATTTCTAAATTAGATGTTGGTGTGTTTTGATCCTACCCGATACGCTCTTCGAGCCTCTTTTCGTCTAGAAAGTCATCTACATCTTTGGTACTGATGTACTTCCTCCAGTTTTTCTTATGCCGTTTGCACACCTTTTTCTTTTTAACTGGAACCGAGTTGACTTCGACCATATTTATAAATCTAAGAGAAAAAACACGTGAGAAACTAAGGTTGCCTGTTGTTCAGGCAAAAGAGGGTATGACGTGCTGTAGATGTAGATGTGGTTGACTTATCCGTGCAGTCTGACGTCACGTGCAACTTTGTATGACGTTTACCTAGAAATTTTTCCAAGAAGTAAGATTTGTTCGGAAAATAACTGTTTCTTTCATATTTTATAATAAACGTTCGAATAGTTGTGATTTAGAAACATTGCTGAACGCTGCTTTCGGAATAATAAAATAGTTCCTTAACCTCAATCGTCTTCTGACGTTTCATTATACAGTTATTCTACGGACTTCATTTGGTTGGCCCTTGGTTCATATATGCATAACATACCAAATTGCTAAAACCTTTGATCCATCAGACAGTGGAAAAAATAAGTCTTTTGTGTAATGGCAATGTAGCCCAAGATAGAGGCAAACGAAAAAAATGCAGCAAAGGACCAAAGGAAGCATAACAATGAACAAATAAAGCTTCGGTGGGAGCTTCAGGTTCTAGGGATGTTTGTTGATACCATGACCCTTAAATTCAGATTTTAGATTTCATTTATGCTAAGAAAACCGGAGGCACGTATTGAAGTAAGCAAGAGAGCTGATCATAAAAAACATGGCGTTAGATAAAAAAAGATGGGATTTCAAGCCAACTCCTATGATACGTATCCAAACCCTTAATGATTGTGGTCACAGGGGTAACCTAGTTACATAATGGCAGCACAAAAAAAGCCTATTTGCATAACAAGGAGCAAATAAAGCTTCGGTTGGAGCTTCCGGCAGACAGGTTCTAGGGATGCTTGTTGATCTCATGACCCTTAAATCAGATTTCACATTTCATTTATGCAAAGAAAACCGGAAGCACGTATTGAAGTAAGCAAGAGAGCTGATCATGAAAAACATAGCGAAAGATAAAAAAAGATGGGATTTGAAGCCAACTCCTATGATACGGTAATCCAAACCCTCAGTGAGTGTGGTCACAGGGGTAACCTAGTTACATAATGGCAGCACAAAAAAAGCCTATTTGCATAACAAGGAGCAAATAAAGCTTCGGTGGGAGCTTCAAACAGGTTCTAGGAATCCCTGTTGATGCAAACAATCAGATTTGATAAAAAATTTCAATATCTGGTAGAGCAGACTGGAGGAAAGGGATCCTGAATGCCGACCTCTAGTGTTCAGGTGGCTTCAAAACCGAATATGGGTGGAGAGTTGGTATTTAGGAAAATAAACCAAAGACTAAAATTCATATAACACTTGGGTAATATCCCACTGTCACTTAAGAAAACACATACACCGGATAGTAGTACAAACAGAAGAAACACTGTGCAGATATTGCCAGGAAGAGGAGGAGACTGCAGAACACATTTTATGTTTCTGCGAAGGTCTATGTAGGTGCAGGTTCTTGCAACTAGGACAAGAAAAACCACAAGCAAGATCCTACACCAAGAAACCACTGGCAAAGCTGGCCAGTGAGTTATAATTAACAGACGAGCACAATAGATCTTTTTAGGTCGAGGTGCAGTAGACCTTGTGGCTGCCTCTCTTATCCCTGGTATTTAAGAAAATAAACCAAGGACTAGAATTCATATAACACTTGGGTAATATCCCACTGTCTTTCAAGCGGAGACTGTTAGCTATTGAACACCCTGCCAAATAGATTAAAATGCTAGGTATTAACAGCTCCATTAACAGAAGAATTGCCATTTACTCTGACAACTACTGCTCGGTAGTACACCCCAGAGTCATTTGGGATTGCATTAGAACCTTGTCAGACTTGGGGAAAACAACAAAATTACCTTGTCTAGGTATAAGGGCATATAGGGCAGAGGGACAAGGAAGAGACTGATTGCAAGGAAAGCTCAATGAGGACATTTACTGTGGCATACAAACTGTCAAAAATGTGGATCTGTCGGACAATGGATTAAAAATAAGTTTCCGTTCAATGGGAATGTAGCCCAGGACGGAGGCATGCACAAAAATTCATCAAAGGACCATCGCAGAAACTAATGGTAGAATTACTTAATCTAGTACATGTTAGGTTTAGAACAATACTTGAACTGAAGACTCCACGGAAACAAGACTGTGCAGATATTGCCAGGAAGAACAAGAGACAATGGAACATGTCTTCTGTTGGTGTGAAGGTGTGCTTATATAGGCTGATTCCTACTCCTGAGAGAGGAAAAGCCCGGGCTTGAAGGATTCACATAGGAATCCTCAAAAAAGCTTTGGGATCTGGTTAAAAGCCTTTAGCTTAATGAAAAGCTCTGGACAACTGGGATGGACAAATGAGATGCACAATAAACCAATACTGGTTGCGAAGTGCAGGTTGTAAGAGGCTGACTCATTTTCTAATATTAATCTACTCATTAGGTTAGTATTATAAACACTTTATGACCTTCAAGAACATAAGAACATGATGAAAATCCTGTTTTTTATATGATGTATCCTAAATAATGGAAAGGTGCTTGGATATTCTCAATATGAGGATTGTTCTGGTCGACATCAATAAGTTTCTCAGTTGGGTTTGTTTTGGAGAGGGAATTTTAAATTGAAAAAGAGAAAGGAAAAGAAAATCTTTTATTACATGTTAATATAACAGTTAAGAATTATTATTATTCAAATAATTATGACAAATCATGTTCTGTGCTGTATGGGATTTAGTTACTTTAAATATTTTTCATTGAATTTTTGCGAATGTATTTATTAACCTGAATGTACAATGTGAAAGAGTATTATGTTAGTGGGTTAATTAAATTCTTTCCTAATTTAGATTAGTTTAGTTGTATACTTTATAGGGTGATGGTCGAAAACGAGTACTCCATTGATTATTTGAGAGAATTGTTTGTAGGTGCTTAAATATCTAGATTAGGTAACCCTAAGACCCCATCTGCTTATCCCTACTGGATTGGTCAGCATTTCCCCATCTTCAGTCACGGCCTGGGTAACAACCAAATTCTTTATTAATTCACTATTTTCGTGGTCCGCTTGACCAATTAATACATGACATGATACATTATATATAAATAATACATGATTAATTAAGGTTTTTAGTTGAGATGAAAAAAAGCTAATGACACGAGAGGGTTTCGAACCCACGACCTTCGGCTAGATACGCCGCTGCTCTACCACCTGAGCTATCGTGACCTCAATCCACTCGTATCTAGCCGAAGGTCGTGGGTTCGAATCCCTCTCGTGCCATTAGCTTTTTTTCATCTCAACTAAAAACCTTAATTAGTTGTTCTTTATCATGGTTTTTCTTCTTGGCAAGAATTGATTCCCTGTATCAATCTTCATGAAATTTGGTAAAAATATTCCCAAACAATTTATGAAACTAAGGAAATATCAAAAGTCTAAAAAAACTCTTGAAAAATACCTTTTTTTTCGATTTATACAAATTGAAGCCTCGGTTGAGTCGAGAGTTGCGAGTTAGCGACTTTGGCCTGTTGATACTTCTTGGTTGAGTATGGTACCCAGGACTTCTCTCCAAATTGAAGTCTCTATTCCACTCAGCTTTACCTGATCTTATGATCACCTGTCTGATAGGTATTACCCCCTTTTTTCTTTTCAGAGATGGAGTATTGCATGGAAGTATCCTAGGTCCTTTCCCATGTACAGTTTACACTACCGATATCTTCCTAAATCCTGAAAAAATCTTTGTTACAATTCACAGACAACATATCCTTTCTTCAAAACCCAAACATGCCTCCAACATCCAAGCCGGAGAATAAAAATTAATGTATACACATAACCTTTACTCTCTGCCATGCAACATGTCCAACCCTCTAACACTTTAATAACATACTTATTATGACCAAAGACATAGTATAAAAAAGTAAAGTAATTCCTGTCATACAAGAAGGCGTCCAACTACCCGTTGGATTTCGTGGACGAGGGGTCAAACCACTTTGCAAGGATCAAATTACAGGTTAGTCAGCAGTTCGCTTGTTACTTATCATTGTAGATCACTTATTGCTATATTTATATGCTGATTGAGGATGCTGAATGAACAAACGAACAAGTGTAGGATTATAATTGCTTAAAGTATACTTAATTTGTTATTTATCTATGCTTTCTTGTTGCGAATTCATTTTTAATCAAAATTAGGTTAATTCTAGTAAGACAAATCTGGTGCTTACAGGTACTCAACTGAATCAGGAAGCACACAAAAAAATTGACAGTATAGATTTGAAAATCAAGTAGTTGATTAAAAAAAGAATAATTCCTAAAATACAAGAGGGCCAAAATCATTGGCCAGAATTACTTTACAATACTTTTTAAATTTTTTAAAGGAAATTTAATAAACAATTAAAATTCCAAGGACTGTTCTGCGATTCGAACTCAGAATCGCTAGTGTGGCAATGATGAGTCGGACGCCCTAAACACTCCGGCATCATGGTATTGTGTTTGTATAGTTGACACAAAATAATTTTATGGTGGAGAGAAGTAAATTTGGACTAAAAACAAAACCCTAAAACAAGTGAAATTTCTTCATAAATTTATACATAAAGTACAATAAATTTTGTCATATGAAAACGACTCCACATCCAACTACTGCCACTAAGATCGTTACAATAAATATGAAGGTAAATAATTTCAAGACTAATCATTATACATTTTAATGTTGGCTTTCATTTTAAGTTTGAGTCAAGATTTTTATGATACTTGTCTAATTTATAAACGTCATTGTCTAAATTTTATTTTTTTGTAAAAAGAAATTTAAAAATTTCAATAAATAATTAACGATGTTTCCATGGTTACAAGCAAGAAAGAAAAGCAAATTTTATGTAAACTATTATTTGATCATGTAGAATTATAATCTAAATTATTGTTGTTGAACAGGACAGACTCAGCAGTGAAATGGATACTAATAACTGTGCGTATGATACTTTAATGTTGTCCTTTTTTACATTGTTTGTATAATTGAATTTCTAGAATTAACTTGATTTTTATAATTTTCAACAATTGATGTTCAATCAAATATTAGACCAGGATTTATGTAATTTGGTTTTGCTTGATAACATCTAAAAGTGAAATATGATGAAATCTTGATAATCAACTTGGTCTAATGATGTAAAAAGTGTAATAAAATAGTTTTAGCCTGAAAAGTTACAAATATCCCTTATAAATTTTATTATTTAGTTAAGTTTTGAAAGTATGCAAGTAATTAACTGATTATTGTTTTTAGACCCACCGGCTGAGCTTATCAAGTCCCCCTACTTGGATATGGGATTTGTGCCAGACAGCAATAAATATATATACTTAGAAGGTGATCGTCCAGTAAGAGGAAGGATGGAACATTGTTTTTTTGAAATAGGCACAGCTGTATTTATCGGTGGAGCTATTGGTGGATTAAGGGGTCTTCTCCAAGGGAACGAACTAGCAAGAGGCTATCCCCCTAAACTGTATAGAGTTGTGTAAGTTATTATTTAAATTTATGAAAGGAACGTTTCGAGGGGAAAAAAAGATGGTAAATTTTAATACAATAAATTCACTAATTTTGTGGTCCGCTTGACCAATTAATTTATTACAATTAATTAAGGTTTTTAGTTGAGATAAAAAAGTCAATGGCACGAGCGGGATTCGAACCCATGATCTTCGGCTTGATACGCTGCTGCTCTACCACTTGAGCTATCGTGACCCCAATCCACTCGGACACCAACTTCCCATCTCAACCCCAACCTTAATTAATTAGTGAATTTAATGAATTAAAATGAAGTATACTTCACTAAAAGCTCTCCGTGGCCATTTCATTTGTCGTCGAGAATCTAATCCGATTACACGACATTTGAAAAATGGCAAAAAGGAGGGAAAACTCAAAAGGTGGGGTTGAGATGGGAAGTTGGTGTCCGAGTGGATCGAGGTCACGATAACTCAAGTGGTAGAGCAGCAGCATATCAAACCGAAGATCGTGGGTTCAAATCCTGCTCGTGCCATTGACTTTTTTATCTCAACTAAAAACCTTAATTAATTGTTTAATTCAATAGTTTATCTAGCTGAATATGGGATATTAAAACTTGTTAAATGACCTTAAAACTAAAGAATACTTGTTTTATAGGGCTTATTTTTTTTTTTAACGACTTAATGAATGGTCTTTTATACTTTCTACATTTGAAGGAGAGACCTCTATATAAATATTTCACCAGAGGATCATCACGATTTTGGAGATACTTACATAAAAAATATTAATATTATTTGTTTATTAAACAGTCATTATAAAAGATTTATAGTCTTTATAAATTTCTCTTTTTGACAAGAAGTCTTCAATTCAGTCTCATATCCGGGTTTTTTTCTTTCTCCCTTCAACCAGATCCTAAGATTCTACGCTCCTGATTATTCTTGTATTCTTGCTTTAAGATGTATTACAACATAAAAAAAGATAAATGCTGGAACATGTCTGATATCAAACCAATTCACTTGATTATTACTGTTGTGGGATTTTTTCCATGTTGTTCGCGAGGTGATGAACCTAAAATTTGGTCGTTACTGATCATTTTGGCTTGATGACTGGGTTGACAAGCATTTTGCCATCTTCAGAGTTGGGTTTGAGTAACAATCAATTTTTTACTTTTGTTATCTGTGTTTTCTCTTTTTGACGAGAAGTCTTTCACAGGGTCTTATACCCTGGGCTTCTCTCTTTCTCACCTCAATCAGATCCTAAGATTCTATGTTCCTGATTATCCTTACTAATCTTATCCTTAAGATGCATTAAAGCATTAAAAAAATAAATGCTGAAATTAGTCTGTTATTGTGAGATTTATCCAAGTTCTGTGGGATGTTAAACCTGAATATTGGTCATTGTCGATATTTTGCCCTGATGGCATTTTGCCATCTCCAATGTTGGGCCTGAGTAACCAAATTTTTACTTTTGTTATCTGTGCTTTCTCTTTTTGATGAGAAGCCTTTGATTGGGTCTCATACCCTGGGCTTCTCTCTTTCTCCCCGAACCCATAGTACCAAGAATTACAAGGTGCATGTCTTTCATCTTTTTTCCTTGGAGCTGGAGTAATACAAGGAAACATTCTAAGTCTATTCCTATATAATGTATACACTTGCAATATACTTCAATATACTTCTAAATCCTACACATTCCCTGCTACATTTGCAGATGACACATCTTGTCCTCACATCAAAACCCAAACATAGCTGCCTCTAAATGTTATTATATCTTGTTAACTTTATTACAATCTGGACATAGTTGATAAATATTATCAGCATTTATTCTTCCCTGTCTAAATTTTAGTGTTGTATTAGATATATCGACCATTTTTCTATTCATGAATTCACTGGATCATAATATGGCATGATGAAAAAGCAAATTATGTTGTTACCACCCAGCTTTTAACCGATTTTGAGGTTATCATCAGGGCAAAGCAATCTTAAATATGTCTACAGATCATAATTAAGTTTTTCACAGACGATTTCAACAGTGCCTGATACAGCCCTTGGCAATGTTGGGACTGAGCCGATATTCAAATCACATCCTGAGAAATCTTTGTTGACAGAAAACCACTGAACAGATAGTTTTCCTCATAGTGGTGTTATCTTTCTTGTATAGTACATTTCCCAAAAACCATTTCTGTAGGTCATTTAACAGTTCAGAGTTCATGCTAATAAGATTGGCACCAGGCAAAGCCATTTGTAAAAATGAGATAGAGGTGGTCCTAGAGTCGATCCTTGAGGACCACCTGATTTTATGATTTCAAATTTTGAGTTGAAGGGAATTTTTCAAGAATTCTAATTTTGTGGGTAGCAAATACTAATGTAATTTTAAATCTAATGGTGAAGATTTGTGCAAGCTTTTACTTAACCTCATTATATCTTGGTTGGCACCAGTTTTATTCAATTTATGAGTGTTTGAGGTATCTTAGTTTTTATGCACACTTATAATAGACAGCTTATTATGGTTGACAAATGGTTGCAGCTATACCCAGATAAATAAATCCAGTCTAAAACAAATCCTGCAAGTTGAAAAATGATTGAAGTCATTGTAAAAATGAGGTAAAGGAGTTGGCTGTTTGAAAGATCTTTGAGGAACACCTGGTTTTATGACTTTCAATTTTGAGTGTCGCATTAGCTGGGTCCTGCTTGATTGTTTGTAGAAGTTGAAAGAAAATTTGCTGATTTAATGAGGTGCTTTTATGAGGTTAAGTGCAAGGCATAGTCAAATGCCTTGTTTCTAAGTGATATTGGTCTATTGTTAGCAACATCCTTGGTGTAACCCTTTTTAAAAAATGTACGACTATTTCAATTTTTAGACTATCAGGAGATTACAAACTGCCAACCAGTATAAAGTTTAGGTTAAATATTGCTTTTACTTATTGAGGAATTATTCTTAGAAAATCCAGTAAGATGGGTGTTTGGAAAGGCTCGATATAAGGCATTGTAAAAATGAGGTAAATAGGTGGTCCTAAGGTGGATCCTTGAGGAACACCCGATTTTATGAATTCGAATTTTGATTGTAAGTAAATTTTTGAGAAATCATAGCTCTGTAATTTTATGAGTAGCAAGGGGTGTGAGAAGTATCCTTGACAATAAATGTAGCACTTCTTCTTTTCTTGAATTATCATTAGTTATATGTATGATAAATATTAATTTAGAATAAATTTTAATTACTTACTTCCGGGTAAGACCTACTTTCTGATACATTTCAACACTTGATGGCGGCGTGTTTGCGTATATTTCCAAGAAAAGGTTGTAGGTACTATAAACAGCAGGCGGAAAATTTACGCAAGATGTACTATTCTTCGTGATAGATTCAGTTATTCAGCATTAAAAAAAAAACCTGCACGCAATTGTGCAAATACGTTGACCTTTTTAAATTACTCATTAAGGTTGAAATAGTGTTGACCTCCATGCAAGGTCTTAGCATCAGCAGTACAGAAGGAAAAAAGATAGAGATAAATGCAACGTCTTTTAAAATCGTATTAGCATAAGAACTAGAATGCACATTAGCTAATTTTTTCGTCGATTTAGAGTTTTAAGAGGACCAGGTTATTGGCGAACGAGAACGAACCTATGTCAGAATGCTTTGCATGTTTTGGTTAATCAAGAAAACTATATATTCAAAAGTAGTATAGTTGATATGTTATGTAGGAGGATTAGTTAAATCTTGTATTTACAGAATAGATTAGTGTTGAAACATTGTCGCTGCTGCCCAGCTTTCATTATCACCGTCAGTAAGCGTCAAATGTTCTGATCAATAAGTTCGGACTTTGACTGACAAGGGGAAATGAGAGTCGATAAGCAAAGCACATCAAGGGTGTTAAATGAGAATGAAGTCAAAACAGACATTATTCCTAATCGGCCGGCAATTCGGCTCAAGGGTCAATATAATGTCATCCACACCGCAATCAATTACCTCTCTCTTCGGCTGATCCCAGTCGGAATGGGATTGTGGTAAGAGCTGATGAAAGCCAGGCTCTAGTTACGCCAAGGGAATTCCAAGTGTTATTTGCTCGTTAAAAGCCCCATCCTATTTGCTAAAGTATTCTAATAGACTCTGGGCGAGTTTTCAATGGTCAAACCCCCACGGGAGGGGGTGAGACTTATCAACACCTAATGTATGCACAATGTAATTAACATAGCACAATAAACTATAAAGAAGCTGAAAGTTATTTTTGATTGTTAGGTCCATCTAATGAGCAAAGTTGTGCTTGTAGAAGAACTCTCTAGACAGCACGTTGTGTACTCAATGTCTGAAAGTGAAGAATTATAAATTGATATAAGTTGAAATGTTATTTATCTAGCCACGCAGCTTGGTCTGCCAGACCCGTTTCAGCTTCTAACCATCGTCAGCGTATAGACTGTAGTAGCTCGATCTTTTGGATAATTTTCTGCGTTGGTCTGTCAGATACATTTTGGTTTCTCACCATGTTCAGTGTGGAGTCTCATGTAACGTGATCGTTTTCTATCATTTTGTTTTGCATGGGCCTTGGTTTTTCGAACTGTCGGACCTGTTTCGGCTTCTCGACATCTTCAATGTGGAGCCTCCTTTGGCTTGAGGTTTCAATAATTTTTGCCTGTCTATACTTGCTGCTTTGGTCAGTAGAACCCCTCTCCATTTCTCCCCATCTACAGTGTGGAGTCTCCTGTAGCTTGGTCGTTTTCTATAATTTTGTCTGCTATCCTCGGTATGTTGGACTGCCAGACCCTGTTTCGTCTTCTCGACATCTTCAGTGTGGATCCACCTTTGGCTTGAGGTTTCCAATAATTTTTGTCTGTCTATACTTGCTGTTTGGTCAGTAGAACCCCTCTCTGTTTCTCCCCATCTGCAGTGTGGAGTCTCCTGTAGCTTGGTCGTTTTCTATAATTTTGTCTGCTATCTTCAATATTTTGTACTGTCAGATTCATTTTGGTTTCTCGCAATTTTCATTGCCGGGTCTTATGTAGCTTGGCCGTTCTGATTAATTTTTATATCTACCTTTGCTACTTTGAATTTCTGCTGCTCGATGTCATCAGTATGAATTCTCCTGTTGCTTGGTCGTTTCCAATGAATATAATACTCGGTACTTCGGAGTGTCAGAAGCCTTTTGGTTTCTCAACATCTTCAGTGTGGAGACTCCTGCAGCTTGGTCGTTTGAATGAATTTTATCTGCTATCCTCGGTATATTGGACTGTCAGGCCCGTTTCGGCTTCTCGCCATCTTTACTTTGAACTCGCTGAAGCTTGAGGTTACAACTTTTGTATGCTATCCTCGGTACTTCGGACTGTCAGACGTCGTTTGATTTCCCGCCATATTCAGTGTGGAGACTCCTGTAGCTTGGTCGTTATATTGAACTGTCAGGCCCGTTTCGGCTTCTCGCCATCTTTCTTTTGAAGTCGCTGTAGCTTGAGCTTCCTACTTTTGTCTGCAATCATCGGTACTTCGGACTGTCAGGCCCGTTTCGGCTTCTCGCCATCTTTACAGTGACGTCTCTGTAGCTTGAGCTTCTTACTTTTGTCTGTTATCCTAGGTACTTCGGACTGTCAGACGCCTTTTGGTTTCTCGTCATCTTTAGTGAGGAGATTCCTGCATCTTGGTCGTTTCCTATAATTTCGTCTGCTATCCTCGGTTTTTAGGCTGTCAGATCCATTTAGGTTTCTCGAAATTATCAGTGTGGGGTCTTCTGTAGTTTGGTCGTTTCTGTTTTGGTCTATCAGACGCATTTTGCTTCTCACCATCTTCAATGTGGAGTCTCCTTTGGCCTGAATGTTTCTAATGATTTTTCTCTTCTTATCCTTGCCATTTTGTTCTGTCAGACGACTTTCTACTTTTGATCAATGGTTTATCTATCCTTGTTCGTTTGGTATGTCAGATCCGTTTTGGTTTCCGCTGAATCTTCTGTGTCTGTCTTTTCTTGCTGTCGCATACATACCCACTGCAGAAGATGACGAGAAGCCAAACGCAACGAAGATGATCCGTTCAAAATGCTCGAATACGACCAAACTGCAGTTTCAACAACTCGCAGACTCAAAGATTAAATCTCATAAAATTAAATCATCGTAATTCTTCTCTATGCCGGTAAAATATACTATTATCCAATGAATAACTTATGTAAATTATTTTTCAAGCTTTGCATATTCTTCTTTGAATATTTTTTCGATAATTTCGGTTTTGGTGCTTATTTATTAAAAAAACAAAACACCTGGTACACCACTGACAACAGGTATATAGAATGAGTGAGGGAAAGAAGGAGAATTATTCAATTCACAGTACCAATTTGTAAAAGCTCATTTCTATTTTACACCAAAAAAAGTTAGACCGTTTCAATTTCCTCCAAGGTAAATTTTAAATGAGTAAATAAAGCCAAGGACTTTTTCTTTCTTCTTTGTTCCCAAAAGTATATTACTTATAAGAAGAGAAAATGTTTTTTACCTCTCCCAGTGGGAGATCGGTAAATTGAAATTTATTTACTGTAACAGGGTCGGAAAAAAGGGACACCTCTACAGAATGATAAGATTGTTACATTATAGGGATAGAAAACGGCGAGTACTGGATGAGGGTAGCGTTAAGTAAGTTACCTAGTGATGGATGTGGTCACTTTCCTAAGGTGCTGGGTCTTTCGCACAGATTCAATCTTCTCGGGTGGCACTGACTTACTGTTTGTATCAATCTTCATCGTCCAGAAGAGGATTTTTTGAGTGTTATCTGAAAAACCCGAGCTATATTTGTAGAGTAGATATTGACTTCTGACTGACCTAATTTATTATAGATTGATATCCTTAAAGTTTAAAGTGTTTATTTGCTTTTTTTATACATCAATTAACGTTCGTTACATTTTTTTTCCAGGCTGTTCAACCAGATTGTCAAGTCCAGCACGCTCGGTAACACTATGGGCGTACTGGCCCTGCTTTTTTCCGGATCGGGAATAATAATATCGGAGCTGAGGAAAAAGGAAGATCCTTTTAACAACATAGCCGCTGCTACTATGACCGGAATCCTTTTCCAGTCTTACGGTAAGCGTTTAATCGTAAATCTGCGGGGGAAAAACAACAATCGAGAGGGCCAATTTCATTGATTGTCATTCTAAATCTGTTTCGGATTAGATTGAAGTAATTAGTGATGGGAAAGACGCCGGGAACACCTGGGAACGGAATATTGGAGACAACCTTATTTGCATTTCTCATTTCTCCCGGTTCTTTTTATTTCTTTCAATTAATCTGTCTTTTAAGACTTAAATCAATCCAACCGAGGTTTTTTTTAAAGAAAGCACTTTTTCTTATCAACTTATCATATCTACAGTTTTTTTTAATAATTCGACATAAGATAAATTTGGATCCATTTTGCAAAAGAACTGGACTTAAGAAGTTCAAAAACTTGTTTCTTCCAGGTTTCTTCCTGCTTCCTTTTGTATATTTTTTTAATCAAAAAGACCTCACACTTTTACAACCCATGAGTAGTTTTAAAAGCACTTAGGATTACTAACAGAACGTACAAAATTCTTTAAGGACTCAATTAATAAACAAATTTTATAATTTTAAAATATTATGATCTAGATTTCAACTAAAAGAAAAAAAAACAATATTAATATTCAATAATATTTTGATGAAAAAATTAAATATACATTAATGTATATATAAAGAACTAATTATAATCTAATTTTTTACCTTCTTGTGTACTTATCTTCTAAGTCTTTTAAGGTTAGAAAACATTGAAATACCTATTAATAAAAATATTCAATACTTTTAATTATGAACTCAATTGTTGAAGGATTTTAACTGTCTTTGAAATGAAATTTTCCACGGTTTTTATTAGAATATTTAGCAACCTGTTGGCTACGTCAACGTTGTACTCTAAGTCCTTCCTTGTTTTCCGTATTTGTCTAATAGTCTTTTTACCTTTATACATGTTCGGTTAGAAATCACTGCAAAGATTTTTTACACTGTTTCATTTGTTTTATTTCTGTAGATGCTTATAATAATTTGGAAAAGAGGTTTGTTCTCGGTTTAAAATATTTAGCCACATGTTGGCCTCCAAGGTTGTCTGTTAAGTTCTTCGAGGTTAAAGAACACAGTTGAAATATTTTAAGGATGGCATTAAAATAAATTTTTTAACGGTTTTTAATAAAAGATTTTGTCAATACTGTTATAGTCCTTGGCAATGTTAGGATTGATATGATTGTTTTGCCCTGATGATGACCTTAAAATACGTCGAAAACTTGGCAGTAACAATCGAATTTCCTTTTTTCTTCAAGATCATACATTCACCGAGATGTTTGTGGGTAAAGAAGTGGTCGATTTTTGTAACACTGACAATAAAATATTTAACAACCTGTTGGCTACGTCAAGGTTTCACTCTAAGCCCTTCCTTGTTTTCCATATTCGACTAATAGTCTTTTTACCTTTATCCATGTTAGGTTAGAAATCAATGTAACAGATTTTTTTTACACTTTTTACTCTGTTTCATGTGTTTTATTTCTATACAAGCTTATAATAATTTGGCACGGAGGTTTTTTGTCGGTTTTTTCCTCATGAAGTCACTGATTCTAGACTTTCTTTCTAAAACGACACAATAATTTTATTATATAATTGACCTTTATTTATTGCCATAACTCCTGCAAGTGGACTACCAACTACTTACTATTACTGCTTCTTAAAATATTTAGACAAATGTTGGAGTCCAAAGTTGTCTGTTAAGTCCTTCGAGGTTAAAGAACACAGTATTTTTTTTTGTAATTCTTGGTGATATCATGAATACATTTGTTGAATTATTTTAAGGATGGCATTAAAATAAATTTTTTAACGGTTTTTAATAAAAGATTTTCTCAATACTGTTATAGACCTTGGCAATGTTAAGATTTATAAGATTGTTTTGCCCTGATGATGACCTTAAAATACGTCGAAAACTTGGCAGCAACAATTGAATTTGCTTTTTTCTTCAATATCATACATTCACCGAGATGACTGTGAGAAAAGAAGTGGTCGACACTTGTAATACTGAAAATAAAATATTTAACAACCTGTTGGCTACGTCAAGGATTCACTCTAAGCCCTTCCTTGTTTTCCATATTCGTCTAATAGTCTTTTTACCTTTATCCATGTTAGGTTAGAAATCAATGTAACAAATTTTTTTAACCCTTTTTACTGTGTTTCATGTGTTTTATTTCTATTCATGCTTATAATAATTTGGAAAGGAGGTTTTGTCTAGGTTTTTTCTCATGAAGTCACTGATGATTTTAGACTTTCTTTCTAATACGATCTAAAAAAATTATTATATAATTGACCTTTATTTATTTCCATAACTCCAGGAAGTGCACTACTAACTACTTACTATTACTGTTACTTAAAATATTTAGCCACATGTTGGCGTCCAAAGTTGTCTGTTAAGTCCTTCGAGGTTAAAGAGCACAGTAGTTTTTTTTACTTTGTAATTCTTGCTGATATCATGAATACATTTGTTGAAGGTTTTTAAGGATGGCATTAAAATAAATTTTTTAACGGTTTTTAATAAAAGAGTTTGTCAATACTCTTGGCAATATAGTCCTTGGCAATGTTAGGATTTATATGATTGTTTTGCCCTGATGATGACCTTAAAATACGTCGAAAACTTGGCAGTAACAATTGAATTTCCTTTTTTCTTCAAGATCATACATTCGCCGAGATGTTTGTGGGTAAAGAAGTGGTCGATACTTCTAACATTGACAATAAAATATTTAACAACCTGTTGGCTACGTCAAGGATTCACTCTAAGCCCTTCCTTGTTTTCCATATTCGTCTAATTGTCTTTTATCTTTATCCATGTTAGGTTAGAAATCAATGTAACAAATTTTTTTTACCCTTTTTACTCTGTTTCCCGTGTTTTATTTCTATACATGCTTATAATAATTTGGAAAGGAGGTTTTGTCTCGGTTTTTTTTCTCACGAAGTCACTGATGATTATAGACTTTCTTTCTAATACGACCTAAAAAAAATTATTATATAATTGACCTTTATTTATTTCCATAACTCCAGCAAGTGCATTAAAGGTTTTTGGCCATCAAATACGGTTCAATATTTTACCAGGGGTCGTTGCATTCAGTTTCTGGCTAATTGGTATGCTGTATAAAGTTGAAAAGGGTTGTTTTATCGTTAATTTCTATTTTATTATAGGACTAGAATTATTGATAAATTGAATAAAATAATATTATTGTATAAAGATCAGGGTGACCATTCTTATTAGAAAACCGTTAGAAATATCCAACCCGAATAAGAAAAGTTTCGCTATAAAAGTATTAATAACGCAGTAAATAATTTTTCGAATTGCTTTTGCTTTACACGTCGGAAGATAAATTAAGCTTAGACGTTGGCAAAGAAGATAGTTGAGCTTCCAAGGAGTTTTCCCTTCCCAAGATAAATTTCTCGTTCGAAGGCTGTTGCTCTACTATTTTTCAAACTGGTCCTTATTTCCTATAATTCGCCACTTAAGTAGATTTTTTTAACCTTAAATTTCCAAAAGTTGTCAACTTTTTGTTTACGAAAGTTAGTTATTCCTATTTTAAAAATTTATTATGTATCGTGGTCCTCTTGACCCAATAAATTATTTTCAGTTAATTAAGGTTTTGGTTGAGATAAAAAAGTCACTGTCACAAGCGGGATTCGAACCCGCGACCTTCGGCTAAATATGACGTTGCTCTTACCACTTGAGCTATTGTGACCTCGATCCACTCGGACACTGACTTCCCATCTCAACCCCACCTTTTGAATTTTCCCTCCTTTTTGCAGGTAGAGCAGCGGCGTATTTAACCGAAGGTTCGAATCCCGCTTGTGACGCTGACTTTTTTACCTCAACCAAAACCTTAATTAATTGAAAACTATTTTAAAAAGTTTTTTCTGTTAACTGTATTTGAAATATCGCAGTATCTAAAGGTTTATTGAGTTTATTAGTTTTTTTGTTTTAATTCATTTATATTTTCAGGTGGCAGACGGAAAATGACCATAGGCGGTGTGGCTGGTTTTTTTATCGGCAGCCTCCTCACTCTATGGACTCAACGGCGTGTAATCACCAGCTACCTGTCGCGAAAGATTCCAACCTCCATCTCAGTGCACACTTCGATTGACAAGGAGGAAAACTGATCCATTGACTCAGTTGGATGAGTTAGAACTTCTTATTTGATTTTTAAATAAAGGACGATGTGCCTAACACAAGTTAATTTATAGTTTTTCTAGCTGTACGATGATGGTTTTCGAGGTGTTAGGCAAAACGCAAAATCTTAACTAGATCAAATCAGACTCTAGGTTTTTCATATTTTTCTGTACTTAACAGAATAATACATCGTGTCGTACCGAAAAAGCTAGTGTCACGAATGGGATTCGAACCCACGACCTTTGGCTCAATACGCCGCTATTACTTGGGCTATGACTCGTCACACTAGCTTTTTCATCTCAAGACCTTAGATAAAAATTATAGTTTTATTATAAATTTTACACCAATGATAATATTTATTACTAAAAAATGTGCGAAAACTAAATAAAATTTATGACACCAACCATGGAAAATAATGATCGGAAACGACCAAGCTACAGGTTGATAACCCTGCAGACCTCATAAATTTCAAAAAATAATATCAACGATCAATACAAATAGACGAATTTAAAAAGCCGTTCATGATTTTACTTTTTGTTTACTGATCGAAATTGGCCATCGGTGGGAAAGTTTGACGCGCAAATTGTTACCGTTTTACGTCCAATAAACTGCGAAACATTTCGGCCGCAATTTTCAGGATATCGCCTTGAATTATGCCGTTGGTTCAACGAAGGACGGAAAGTAAAAATAAGGGGCAACAACAATGGAAGCTCTCACGGACCCAAGGCCCCATTATCAGATCTTAAATAATCCGACTCGTCTTGATTGTTTTTATACTCAGCCTTACTCGTTAGCGTTGATTTTGGCGTTTCCTCTTCGAAAGATTTCCTTCCTTGTAACTGGTCCCAGAAAGGATCTGACGGCCCCTGAGATTAATTATTATGTAACCTTAATAATATCCGATACTCGTCAAAAGTGTCGATTACACCGCGTTTTAATTAAAAATAATAAATTATATTTGAATTAAAGATTTTTTTTTGTGTGGTTATGGTTTATTTTTTTATCGTAACATTTTGAGGCAGATGTTCTACAATTTTTTACTTTGATGGACAACAAGCAAAAAAGTTATAGTTTGATCGTCTGTCTATTCACTAACCTAATCTCCCTGGTTTTGCCTGTCAAACTCGTTTCTGCTGTTTCCACATGAAAAGGAATTGCATACATGGAAAAACGCACAGACCAACCACTGAAGTTGAAATACGAAACGCGGTTTGACAAGACCAAGGCGACCAAAATGGATGGAAACAGTCAAATTTCAAGGTTCACGCTGAGGTTCAAGCTAAAAAAATGATTAAAACTGTATTTGTTTAAAGTTTTAAAGGCTAAACCATTCTATAAAAAAAAATAAAACGTAATAAAACCAATTGTAAAGAAAAAATAACAAGTTGAAATTCCCACAATTCAGCCAAACTTTCAAATAAGATCATTTAGCTAAGTTTTTTCAATTCCCTTAAGAAATAAGTTTATATAACACACGGACTTAAATTATTTATATAACTTCCTCATAAAAATTAAAAAGCTTGATTATCTCTAACCTGTTCTGGTTAATCTCGCTGGATTTGCCTGCCAGACGAGTTTCAGCTCATGAAAAGGACATATACACAGACCAACCAATGAAGATGAAATACCAAGCGCAGTCATACAAGACCATAAAAAAAAGATTTTGCATTGTATAAATTCACTTTTCCGCATCCAAAATATAATTGTTATATGTAAACAATGTTTGTAAATCCCAGGCCCTGAAGATGATCTCAATAAAGATCGAAACGTTGGCACGATAAAGAAAATGTTTTTCTGAAACCTACATCACACCAGACTGCATCTCACGATTTCTAAATAAACAAGACCATAAAGATCAGAATGGACGGAAACAATTAACAGCTTCATTGCACCACATCTAAAAATTTTAAATATTTTTTCCCTTTGCTCTTGGTTTTCCTTGATGATTTAGTTTCTGTACTGAAGTATATAATTCTTCTCGTAGGTATGACAGAGAGACATTGTTCAAAAATGGCTTGCCTAGGTAGCATAGCAGTTCCTAGCTACTATAGGGCAGTTGCTTATGATTTACTTTTGACTCTGTCAGGCCATATACACGGAGAAACGCACAGACCAACCACTGCAGTTGAAAAGCGAAACGCAGTCAGAAAAATCCATAAAGATCAGAATGAACGAACATTACTAAACTACAGCTTAAATCGCGACACAGACTTCCAAAAATCTTAATTTTTTTGCCGTTTTGCTCTTAGTTTACCTGGATAATTTCGTTTCTTCACTTAAGTACGTAAATCTTCTCAGAGGTATGGCATCGATCAAAAATAACGTGCCTAGGCAGCATAACATTTCCTATCTATTGTAGGGCAGTTGCATAGGTTATGCTTTTGGCTCTGTCAGGACATATATACGGAAAAACGCACAGACCAACCACCTTAATTGAAAAGCGAAATGCAGTCAGAAAAATCCATAGAGTTCAGAATGAACGAAAATTACAAAACTACAGTTTCATCGCAAAAATCTTATTTTTTTGCCCTTTTGCTCTTGGTTTTCCTTGATGATTTCGTTTCTTCACTTATGTACATAAATCTTCTCAGAGGTATGGTCCTCATAAAAATTAAAAAAAGCTTGATTATCTCTAACCTGTTCTGGTCAATCTCGCTGGATTTGTCTGCCAGACGCGTTTCAGCTCATGAAAAGGAAATATACATGGAGGAACGTACAGACAAACCAATGAAGATGAAATACCAAGCGCAGTCATACAAGACCATAAAGATCAGAATGAACGGAAACAATTAACAAGTTCATTGCACCACATCTAAAAATTTTAAAGATTTTTTTCCCTTTGCTGTTGGTTTTCCTTGATGATTTAGTTTCTGTACTGAAGTATATAATTCTTCTCGTAGGTATGACATAGAGACATTGCTCAAAAATAGAAATGATAAATGATGGAGTGAGTGTGGTGTTCAATCCTTTTTAAAACAGTAAGTTGTTTTACAACGATACGGATTTCGAGCCTTTTAGCTCATCATCAGGTTGAAGGACTTCAACAACACCAAATTCAAACCTACATTCGATATCAACAATTCTTTAGAACTGATAAAAGAATTAAATAACATCAATGTACCCTACAACTGTGTTTTAGTTATTTGACGTTACTAATTTATTCACAAATATCAATCACAAGTTGAAGAATGTACTAAACTCATAAAGCAAAAACTTACCGAGAACTTTATTAACGAACTTGTAAAAATGATATAATAGACTTCTTAAATATATGCCTACGATCTAATTATTGTAAATTCAATAATAAATTTTACGAAATGAAAGGGTTATCAATGGGGTCTCCATTATCCCCACTTTGTGCTGAAATATTCATGGATAATTTCGAAAAAAATCTTTTCAAATCAAAGAACAAATTAATTAAATCTGTTCATTTCTGGAAACTCTATGTAGACGATATTTTATGCATATGGTCGGGAACATTAGAGGCTCTCAAAGAATTCCTCCAACTAATTAATTCTCTACACCGTAATATAAATTTTACATTGGAAGTTGGCAAAGATGGTTGTTTGAATTTTGTAGACCTAAAACTGTCCATAATAAACAACCTAATAGAAACAGACGTATATAGAAAACCCATAACTACAGACACTATGATACCAGCGGATTCTTCCCACCCATGGTCCCAAAAGTCTGCTGGTTTCATTTGGCTCATAGACCGGATGTTAAAACTTCCGCTAACACCTGATAACTATGAAAAAGAATTAAAAACTATTAAAACCTTAGAAAAAAACAACGGGTATCAAGAAATATTTATTGATAGTTGCTAGTTAAAAGAATAAAAAATTAACTTTAAACGAATCAACAATAGGACTCAGCCACCCCACCACAAATGAATCATTGGGTTTCCGTTGTTTGCCATACATTGGTGAATTATCGGACAAAGTTAGTAAAATTGTTAAACAAGAAGGTTTTAGAATAGCGTTTAGAAGAAGTACGGGTACACTTAAAAACATCCTCTCAAAACCTAAAGACAAAGTAGACAATTTGGCAAAAAGCGGGGTTTACCAACTCAATTGTAATATTAAATATATAGGACAAAGCGGTAGAGAAATAAAAACAAGAGTAAAAGAACACTTGCCTAAATCGAGCAAATTTTCGGAATTTAAGGACCATCGTGAGAAACAAAACATAATTTCAATTCAAATCTAAATACAAGAGTGTTACATAGTTTCAACAAAGGGAAAGAATTAGATTGGTTTGAGAAATTTGAAATTAAAAAATGTAAAATTGAACATGGTGATAAATGCATTAATAATATAACAGATTTTGATCTACCTCCCATTTTAAATATGTACATAAATAATATCAAACATCCAAATAATTAAACTAATTATTTTAATTGTTATTATTTTTATAGTAATTTAATAATATTAAGTATTTACTAGTATAATATTTATTTGTGTTATAATTTCCGCGTTTCGCACGTTCAAATTGAGCGCCATTAAAAAAATCAGCTGCTAATTGGAACGTCGCGTTGGCGGAGGTATCAGCGGGTTCACTTTGGCAATTCATGTCGAGAGACGTGGTTGTAGAAGTCCTTCAACCTGATGATGAGCTAAAAGGCTCGAAATCCGGATCGTTGCAAAACAACTTACTGTGAGTAGGAACTGTCTTTTTAAAAAGGATTGTTCAAAAATGGCTTGCCTTGGTAGCATAGCAGTTCCTAGCTATTGTAGGGCAGTTGCATAGGATATGCTCTTGGCTCTGTCAGGACATATACACGGAAAAACGCACAGACACTGCACTTGAAAACCAAAGCGCAGTCAGAGAAGGCCGAACAGATCATAATGAAGAAGACTAAGTACAGCTTCATCCCTCCAAAGACTTTCAAAATCTTAAAGATTCCCCACTTTTGCTCATGGTTTTCCAGGATGATTCTATATCTTTAATGAAGTACATAATATTTCTGAGGTTTGGCCTTGTATCTGATACGCTATATTAAAAGTTATAATAGAACTTAAATTCACTAATTTCGTGGTCCGCTTGACCAATTAATATATTAAAATTAATTAAGGTTTTTAGTTGAGATAAAAAAGTCAATGGCATGAGCGGGATTCGAACCCACGATCTTCGGCTTGATACGCCGCTTCTCTACCACTTGAGCTATCGTTACCTCGATCCTCTCGGACACCAACTTCCCATCTCAACCGCACCTTTTGAATTTTCCCTCCTTTTTGCCATTTTTCAATTTCAGGGAAGTTGGTGTCCGAGTGGATCGAGGTCACGATAGCTCAAGTGGTAGAGCAGCGGCGTATCAAGCCGAAGATCGTGGGTTCGAATCCCGCTCGTGCCATTGACTTTTTTATCTCAACTAAAAACCTTAATTAATTGTTATAATAGAACGGTGATGACGTATATAAGAAAGAAAAATGGAACAAATTTAGCAAATATAATAATTTTCCTTATGCATTATGAAGCATATAGGACTTAAATTGACATAGCCGAAAGAATAAAATGCCTGTTTAAACAATTGTTTTTATTTGATACAGATATTAATACAGTTAAGAATCCTTAGATTAAAATACACAATATTTCTTTCCTTAATAATGGCGAGATCATTGAGAAACTGTTATTCATGGGAGCTGGAATTTTGGTGTGTGTTGATTATTTAAAGAGGTAGATATGTTCAAGAGAAAAGTTGCCAGGGGTCGCTAACAGTGTGGCATTGTGGCGTTGTAAAGGAAGGGACTTCGTTTTGTAAAAAGCTTTGGTACTTATATCACGGACGTCTTCATAGTAGCAAGGGTCCCTGCATTTTTTATAAATTAAGACGCCTTTAAAACTTTTACAAGGTTTATTGTTTTATTCATTAAAAAATGCATTAATTAATTAAAGTAAAAAAACCTATCGAATCGAAATATTCGATTCCTTGCTAGAATCACTTAAAAAGCTCAAGGCGTTTAGTTTTATTAATTTTTAATGTTCAATAAAACAAAAGCACTGGAGCTTTTTAAAAAAAAAATCGCGCTTTCATGCCTTAAGAATTTATGAAAAAACGTATCACATTTTCTTTTTTCATCGAGTTAAAACTAAATCAAGTATATTAAATGAATTTAAGTTTGGCAGTGGCCTTAGGAATAATGAAGATGGTTTTTATGAAGGCGTCGAACTGGCAGTGGATCCTGATGTGGAGCGATCTGTTGTTGATGAAGGGGTCGATGAGGTCGTCGATCTGTCATAATGATAGCTTCCTGAAAAATTATAATAAATTTTTTTTAGGTGAATATTTGATCAAGATCTTAAGAGTGGAGAATGTGTTGAATCTTGGATTGTAATTCGTAGTATGACCTAGGCATTTTTCCCTAGTGTCCGAGCTTTTGCAATCGACCTGGGGCATAAGTAATGGTGGCAAGCGAGGAAAACGTATAAAGCACACCTCTGATAACACTCCCCCCGAGGTTTTTTTTTTCCAGTGCCAGCAAGATTATGGTTGACGTTGTGGAAGGGTGTGCAAATGGGTTGACCCTTTGTTACCCGCGGGTCGTAAATCCGAACCAGCTCTCCGCCCATTTTCTGTTGCATTTCATTCACCGTAAAAAAGAAAAAAAACCAATTAACCCCAATCGCTATCGATTACGACCCAGGTGCATATTCAACGACAAAAAAGGCATTGTAAACGTGTCAGTTTAAAAAAGACCGGTAAATACGAGGAAACACAAAATACAATTTAATGTGGTTTAAGATTAATCTTTCTAAGATAGCCTCAGGTTTTTCACTGATGGAAAAGAGAGATCCATCATCCAGGTTATTAATGTCGGCCTGGATTGTTATCTTCTTCATTGTAAACATACAACACTGGCAGAATCGCTATAAAGATAACAAGGAGTATTACATTGCCCTTTTCCATTGTCTTAAGCTCTGTTGAATTTGTATTCTTAGGTTAATCGCAGAACTACTTTACCCCTTTGAAAACTTTAAGAAAGTTTATCAATTGTTTTAAAACTTTTATAAGCTAGCTGAATGATTAATGACTTATTCACTCTAAATAATTGTAAAAGTCTTGTTCTTGATGTACTCTCAAGTTTTATCAACTAACCTTTACAGAATTGGTCGGGTTTTACACAAGCATTAACTTTAAATGAGCAAATTTACATACAAAATAAAGAATTTAATTTGTTTTATAGTTTTTATGTAAAGTGTGTTTAAGATGAAAAATTCTGTCACCAGACTGGAACCCACGACTTCCGGGTCTTTACCCCGGCGATCTAAGCACTTGAGCTATGTGACTTCGGTCCGCCAAGACACCAACTCTTCGTCTCAACCACTCTTTACAAAAAAAGTTATAAACCAGTTTAAATTCTCAGTTTGGTTAACTACGACCAACTAAAAACATAGATTTACATAAATAATTGTTGTTGTAATAACGTAAATATACCTGAGTCTCTGTTTCCGTAAAATTCGTAAGTTGCTCCGACTCCAGTGTGTCCTGGGTATCGGTCTAGCTTGTGCTCTCCTGATGAACTCGGGTGGGACCCGGATCCGTAGCCGTCGCTTCCCGAACCGCTGGGTTTGTCGTAGTTATAACCATCACCTCCAGGTCTGTAGCCGTCGCTGCTTGGCCTGTAACCCGTACCCGGTCTGTATCCAGAACCGGGTCTGTAACCGTCTCCACCAGGCCTGTACCCATCACCTCCGGGCCTGTAGCCGTCACTTCCTCCAGGGTGATAACCGGCACCACCGGGCCTGTAGACATCACTTCCTCCCGGTTGATAACCGGATCCTCCTGGTCTGTAACCTTCACTTCCGGGCCTGAACCCATCACCTCCTCCCGGCTGATAACCAGCACCTCCGGGCCTATAGACATCACTTCCTCTTCCTCCCGGTTGATAACCGGATCCTCCTGGTCTGTAACCTTCACTTCCGGGCCTGAACCCATCACCTCCTCCCGGCTGATAACCAGCACCTCCGGGCCTATAGACATCACTTCCTCCAGGCCTGTAGCCACCACTTCCTCCTGGTTGATAACCAGCACCTCCGGGCCTGTAGCCGTCACTTCTGTCAGGTTGGTAACCAGCACCTCCGGGCCTGTAGCCATCACTTCCTCCTGGCTGATAACCCACACCTCCGGGTCTATAGCCTCCTCCTCCTCCTGGTCTATAACCGGCACCTCCGGGCCGGTGGCTGCCTGAACTTTCGGGATATCTATCGCCTGGCCTCGTCCATTCTCCTCCAGGCCTCCGGTCACCCGAGCCGTAATAGTACCATCCGCTTTGTTCGTAACCTGGCCGCTCATAACCCGGGCTGTAGCTGTAACTGGGCTTTTCATAGCCTGGCCTCGTCCAACTTCCTGTCGCCGGTCGGTGATCTTGAGGGCTGCAAACATTGTCATTACTCTTTACATATAAATTATTAAGCTGATGGTCTGCGAATCACTGGGTCCGTCTACACTCGTGGGTTTTGATAATAACCAAATACCAAATTCGTGACATCTTCAGTGAGGAATTATACGTAGGTCCTTATATACTGTGTGGTGTGGTGGTTGTCGCGAGTGTAGACCATTATTAAGTAACCCAGTTAAAAGAGTGTATCTTTTCATCTTGGTTGAACTTTTGATGCTTGAATTAACTTTCGGCTATTGCTTTGTTTAGTGTTGTCAAAATTATAAATTATATTTCAAAAGTAGTTGACTTACTGGAAAGGGCATAGTTTTTGTTTTAAAACAGACCCGATGATTTTATTTAACTTTTTTTTGTATCAGAAATGCTATTGTGGTTTTAGTCTTTCGGAGTGCATTGCCAAAGGGCACAGGTCACCCAGAGAACCCTGCTTGAAAAATACGAGAGTTGGCTGTTTCGGGGAGGATGTGGCAGTAAATTACGAAGGGGATGTGCAGGGCGAGGAGCAAGGAGGAGCAGGACCACCATTAGTTACCTACCACCTTGTCTAAGAGATCCATTACTGGTCTGCACTCTTAAAAACACCTTGGCGATCACACAGCTCTGTTCCGCTCCACCACCTCGTTAAAAGAATAAAGCGATTTATATGTAAATGCCTTTTAAAAAAATCCCTCGAGAAACTGTTATAAGCTATAGTAAAGTACTTTGTGTTAATTATTTTATTTATTGTTTAACTATATTTCATCCGATGTGAATTGAATTTAGTGAAGTTTATTTTTGTATAATTTAGTCTTTTATAAGGTCAAGTCGAACATAGAAACCTTTATTTGGTTGTCAGAAAATCGTGCTTAACACTTCGTCAGGCGGAACCGGCCCTGCACTGGAAATAAATGCGTCCTCCGCGGTACTTTGTATTGAAATGGAAAACCATTTTTGTCCTCCGGTCAATAGCGTATGATTCAAGTGTCTGGCCGGGTTTGATTTAAAACCTACGAAGGGGGGAAAAAATTGTCGTCCTTCATTCCGAGCTAGAGGGAATTTTTGAGTAACTCGATATCATCAGGACCCCGGGTGCAATATATCAGTTGAATTATTATATTTCCGATGATAAACATAACCATCCGTCAAAGTCATCCGGTCCACATCAATAATCAATCATGTAACAAATGCCAAAGATGCAATGTATTTATACATATCTTTATTAACAAACATTATTATTTTGAAATATATAAAAACAAAAAAAAATCTCTCGGCCTTAATAATAAACGTAAAACGGTACAAACAGTTGAATGTCAAGTCAAAAGATGCCAAAAGTTGGTATACCTTATAATTCAAATAGATAATAAAAAAACGTTTTATCCTTATTTACCGGAGTCTATTTATAAAATCACTTGTCATTGATTGATTTATAAAAAATTATATTATCATATTTGACTATCTAATTGACCAAATTGCTTATTTCAATTAATGCTTTTTATGTAAGGAATTGATTGAGAAGAAAAAGTTAGTTTCACGAGCGGGTTTCGAACCCACGACCTTGGCTCGATACGCAGCTGCGATAACCACTTGAGCTATCGTGACTTCGTTCTACTCGGACGTGGGTTCGAATCCCGCTCGTAACACTAACTTTTTCATCTCAACCAAGACCTTACATAAAAAGCGTTAATTGAAAAAAGCAATTTGGTCAATTAGACCACTAAACAAAAATGGATTAATATTTATTTTTTATGTTGATCCGCTCTATTCCATAGATCAGTCAACCAAAAACCAACTTCCATAAAAAGTAATCTTTATTTTTTAAAAACAAGCATCGATTTCGGGATGTTGCTCGCTCCCCCTCGTAAGCTGTTATGATTTAAAATATTAAAAAAATCACTTATTAAAAAAAAATCCAACTTTTTATGAAAGTGTGTTTTTGGCTGTCTACGTCTCTGGAATAGAGTGAACTAAGCCAGAAAATAAATTTATTGATTTATTTTTAGTTCAAATCGACAGCAGGATTTGTATGGGTTATAGAATGGTAAGTTGTAAAATAGATAATAAAAAGGCCATCATGACTAATGATTTTCCCTGGAGACAATTTATCTCAATATTCATCGATGATGACTGTGACTCTGAAGATGACGGCCATTGGCGAAAAGTAAACAAAGGACGATGTGTGGAAGGCTTTAAAAATATGAGGGCAGACGCTAAAAGCCGTTTAAGAGAACGGTCACCATTTTTAAACAAGTTGTTCAATATAGTTGATTATTACAATTAATTAAGGTTTTCAGTTGAGATAAAAAAGTCAATGGCACGAGCGGGATTCGAACTCACGATCTTCGGCTTGTTATGCCGCTGGTCTACCACTTGAGCTATCGTAACCTCGATCCACTCGGACACCAACTTCATCTCAACCGCATCTTTTGAATTTTCCCTCCTTTTTGCCATTTTTCAATCCCGCTCGTGCCATTGACTTTTTTATCTCAACTAAAAACCTTAATTAATTGTAATATATGAATTGGTCAAGCGGACCACGAAATTAGTGAATTTAATAGTTTATTATCTCAGATTATTTTCGTTTATTTCTTTTTTCTTTCAATCTCATCTTTTTCTTCCCTCGATTCCATCAATCCGAACCGTTACATACATACAGAACCCAAGAAATTAATTTTTTCTCACACTTTCGTGTTTGTAGGTGTACATGATAATGATGGATAGTTAATAAACAGATGACTTACAGTTGAATCGGAAGTTAATCATCGCAAAGCTTGGTGCAATAAAAGTTACGAAAAGGTTCAGAAACACTTAATGCCTAGAACAAACCTCCTTGGAATTTGATCAATCAAACCATCGTTCAATCAACCAAAGCTCAATGGATCCAACAAACCAGTCCTCAGCACCTGGACATATCCCGGTCACTAAAAAGGTAAATTTTTTAGTAACTTCTTTCAGGACATGGCAGGTGTACTTATTAGACAAAAAACAGATTTTTTTTCTTTTACCAACACACAAACCAGACCTCGCTCCTTTGGATTACCACTTGTACCAGTTCATATCGTAATTTGGTAAAATGATGATGAATATAGATAGGAAGTCGGGGTTTTTTCCTCCCAAAGCACTGCAGCCTTCTTGCTTATTGTATATCCCTAGTTTCTTAGTTAACTGCAATCGACTCGATCCTTCTTCTATGGAATGGTAGGTCACTGACTGTTGTTGCTACAATTCTAGGGTTTTCTTTGTATCCCAGGTTATGTCTCTATGGAGCGTACAGCGTAGCTGTTTCTTATTCTCTATTGCATAACCTACAAAAGGGGTCGTCATGTTATAACCCATGTTGTATGTGCCCCTCAGATGCCTTCATAAGCTTACTGTCTTTAACATATCTAGAGTTTGTGCACTTCTCCTTTTGTTTTGTTTTATTGCATTTGGAGTATTGTTCGTTTTTGTTATCTCGAGAATTGGTTCAGGCTCTATATTTGTCCACATCCGGCATGAGCACGGTTTCAGGTTATAGAGGTTAGGCCTGGACCTGATACCACTAACCACAGAGGCCGGTGAGGACTTGGAAGCATTCACCACGCCTCCTTATAATTGTCCGGGCAAGTCGAGAGTACTTGAGAGACGTTACGGATTTATTATCAACCCAATACAATACATACACACAGCAGAAGATATGTCCGAATGTTAATTTAAAAAAAAATTATAAAGAAAATTTTAGAATTTTAGGTTAATAGTGTTAAGAAAAAACGATGAAGCAGAACTTTTTACAGTAATAATGAATAAGTAGATTTATTGTAAAAGGAAAGAACCAATTAATTTGCAAGATTTGTGTTTTAATTGTTTTCCCAAATCAAGAATCTGAATTTAGGAAAGTTTGGTCTGCCTTGGTGCCTGTTAGTCTGTCAGGTGCCGTTAAGTAAACCATTTTTTTTGCAGTTGATATGTGTGACACTTGTTCAAATGAGAACACGTGGGAGGATTTATGCAGCTTTTTCGAAATTCAATTAAAGTTTACGAGAAAGTAGCCCCATCTACTGCATTTTTGCGGCTATAATCGATGTTCTAATTGAAATACATATCAACCAAACCAACTCAACTAAGTTTTCGTTTCAAAAAGTTAGCTGCATCTTCAGTGGTATGCTGTGTGTCAAGTATGTTGGAATGTGTAGTGAACGTATGCACTTTCAGTATAGCGATGCTTTCTCATCGTATGGTTTTAAGTATGATGTGCTATTGTTGTATTTCACCATTCATCGAGTGTTTCACGTTGTTTTTCTGATAAATATGGCCGTAATATCAAATATAATAAATAAATCTTGTTTTGTGTACTAAAAGTTGAATGTTATCCTTCTTGTAATTTGTTATAGAAAGATCTACTTACAACCTTCCATGCTAATTATGAGTCAACTCATAAACTTAAACTGCAAACCTAACAACTGTCTCATTCGAGAGATAAACTCCTAAGAGAGTATGTTCCATTATTTACTGTCTGGCATTTACTTTATCGATTTAGCAAAAAAGTTTTCACATGTAACGAACTTTGAAAGGAAAAGTTTATCACGCTGTACAACATCCTGGATTTGAAAAGTTCGTCAAGCTTGGCATTGTGGCAGAAGAGCGATGAATGAATTCAACCCGACTTTAATCTTGGGCAATTAATTTTCAAATTTATTAGAAAATTATGTTGTTCAATGTTGTATTACAAGTGTTTTTATGTAGTTCATGAAAGTTTGGGTTAGCTCTGAGACGGAGGGGCTGTGTTTTAATCAAATGGTTACAAATGGCAAGAAAGGATCTGTAAAAGTGATAATCGAATAGACGGTAATTCACCTGGATATTTGAGTACCCTGATGATACTTAAGTGGCAGAGGGATATTTTATACGCAATTTTCAAACAACGAGATATGTAGTAGACCTGTGTGTGTAAGAAAGATCTGATGATGGCGAGAAACCGAAATAAACACGTCTAGCAGACCAAAACCGCGAGGGTAGTCGGATCAGGTTCAATACTCTATTGACCTCAAGAAAAACTCTTACATTAATTACGGTTATTATATAATTAATTATAAAATATTATTGATAACATACAGTTTTAACAGCCAAAAGTACAGATTTTTTTGATATGTTGATTGAAATAGTCATTTTTAAGTAGTTTTGTTTAAGTTGGGTCAATGTTTTAACCAAGCAGGTAATGAGGTTATTTCGCTCAGGACCGTGTAGTTAATTAACGAAAGCCGGATTTCCCTTGTCTCAGTGATTGTTTAAGAAGAGAAAAAACGCAGTGCAAGGTCGAGGTGGTGAAAAATAACACCAAGTTGTCCCAAGTCAGAGATTTTAGAGGAAACAGCACCAAGACCAGAATTAAGCATTGGTTGGTTCTTTGGCCAATCGACTCACCCTCGTTCCGTCCAAGGGTCTGGGTACGGAGGCGCGAGAGGCGTGAAAGACATCGAAGTCGGGGGCTGATAGTAATGATATCCGTGGCCGTAGGTCTGGCCAGGTCGTTGCTCGTAGTAGTCCCAATTCGACGCGTAGTTTTTCGTGCCCCATCCTGGACCTCCTGATGAACCCCAGCCCCTCATCATTTCCTCCCAGGGTTGGTAATTGTAGTCGTACCTGTAATCCGGCTCTCTTAACAAAAGTACATGTCTACGGTTAGTGTCGAGAGCGAAATGGATCCGGAAAATATACACACTTCCTACTTATAGTAATTTCTTATTTCTTGTTATTTCGTCAATTTCAAAAGAGTCAAAATTAATTAACGCTTTACCTATTTATGTAACCGGATTCACCACGACTTCTGTCGTAGTAGACTGGTGCTTTGTAATCGAAGCCTGAAGGCTTTGTCCATCCCCTTCCGCTGTATCTGTCATCCCCGTAGCCGTAGCTTCCTGCATAACCCGAACCATAACCTAAAAAGTACAAATAAAAAATAGAATTTTAATACATTACAAAATGGGAAAATTGAAAATATTTATAATTTGGTGTCGTTTTCGATCGTCCTGTTCCGCCGGAAACGTTCGGCCTTTTTTCACGTCCAGTGGTTAGTTACAGTCACAGACAGTGGGTACGTCAAACACCGACCAGAATGACCGGAAATGACTCGAAACTAAAAGTTCATCACTCCGCAGAACTAAAAACATCTTACAGTTTAAAATTATCACAAAATGCCATCTAACAAGGGGACGACTAGGTTGGTGTGTCAGGGATTTGAACTATTTTTTTTTTTTTGGTGATTCTACACTGCAAAATATAGGACGCGTCCGACTTCTTGCGAATAGGCCCTGGTTTCGCCAAAATAAATTTTTGAAGGTTGAAATTTTCCGTTTTTTAATATTTTTATTTCTCCGTTCTACTTGGATTTGTATTGGATTTATATACGCTCAAGTCCGCACATGTACGTACATAAAACATGTCTCGATTTGAGCGTATTCGCTTCCCGTAGTTCACCAGCTTTTGCTATTTACTGTAAACTGCCGGCAGACTCGAAAATCACCCATCCCGGGTGTTGACAGTCCAGGGGCAGGCCAGTTCTTCCATCCAGCCACAGAGGGGGGAGTGCTGTCAACAGCTAGGTCAATCCAGCTCCCAACGTATTCAGTTCCAAATCCATTCGTATTCACGTTCATTCTTAAATACATTCACTCGTAGTTACAAACCACTCATTCAATTAGAGTGGTGTAGTACTCGATAATCCTACATCACCCTTTACGCATATTATACAACTAACCTAATTGAGGGTCGATAGGGTAATCAATATTCCGCCATATACCCTCTTAAATCATACATTCTCGCTAATAAATACATTCACTTTTCAACACAATCTACGTATAATGAACTATTATTACTATATGATCTATCAGAACCAGTTTCTTTCAAGAATGGGAGCCAAATACTCGCTGCCGTGCTCAAGACAATTCTCAAATCAGGTGATGCGCGCTCTCTATATATAGCCAAGGAATTGTACCCTTAAATTAGGTGGTATACGTCGAGCAACCATTCTCTGCCGGACATATACGCGGGATTTACCTAAAAATAAGTATCCGTATGTCATCCTCGCAAGGCCTATTCTTAACCGGGTGAGTACGACCCCTCTTCTACGAGTGAGATCCTCTGATGCCACTCATCGACAGTGCTCTAGATACGTGAGATCTCTCTGGACCCGGCCCATTGACGATGCGATCTTATTTTAGTTATGTTTTTTATTGCATACTTAGCGTCGGAGGGCCGGATCGTGGTAGTTAATCCGAATCGGTACCTCCTGGCCTTAGCCGCCTCGTCCGCCTTTTCATTACCAACCAGACCTATGTGTCCATGTACCCAGATAAAAATCATAGTTTTGCCAAGACGCTCCAGGTCGTCACGGATCGCAGTAACCGCACTGAGGGAGTCGGTGCAGACTACGTAGGCAGAGCGATCGACTGGATCATCCCAAGTGCGTTCCAAATCGCATACAGTTCTGCCGTATAAACGCTACACTGTACGAAGTGGACGCATCCTCGCGATACACGGCACACCTACACCTTTGAAGCCTCTGTAAAGACGAGCCGAAAACCAGCGCACCTCGGTCTAATCTCCAAGAACTTAGCTCGGTGAAAGGAAACTGGGATTTTTGATAACGAGTTATCACGTGGTCGTGAACAAATGGAATATGGAGGTCAATGTGTTTTGTTAGTCGTAGAACGAATTTTCTTAGGATTTGGCATTGGAACGACTAGATACTTTAGGAATTTGAATACTTGGTTATGGCCTGAACATTCACTCCGCACATCCATATCGGAAGAAAGTTTAAACAATATCACCTTCACTATCACCTAACACTATGAATCTTCACCTTTGCCGATGATGCTGCAATCCTTTCTCTTGATGGTGATCCTGTCACAGCTTACAGTAATCTCCAAAACCCCTGCACATCCTAGAATGCTGGCTCCGCAGTGGAGAATCAACATCAACGAAACCAAATCAACAAACATTTACCCTAAACAAGAAAACGCTCCCACCAGTATACCTCAACAACGTTCCCATCCCAATTGCGAACCATGTACGATACCGTGCACTCTACCTGGACAAACGACTGACGTCGAATCCCCATACACGACTTAAGCGCACAGACTGTAACATACGATTTTTCATGCTTAAACGACTACTCGACACACGATCAAAACTCTCATTAACAAAAAGAAAACTTTTCATTGCCCTCTTGGCCCCCATTTGGACATACGGACTTGAACTTTACGGGTTTGCTAAGCGTTCCAACCTCAATCGAATCCAATCCCTTCAATCCAAAATCCTCAGAACAATAGTCAACACTCCTTTCTATTATCCAATCACACCATCCATACCGGCCTAAATATCCCTCTTGTTACCGAGCTCGCCCAATCCCGCTTGAAAACGTTCCAAACTACCCCATCATCCGAACCCTTTCGCCAAAAACCTGTCATCCACCACATTACCTAATCCCAACGGAAGACTGAAGCGTCGGTGGCCCCTGCGACAACCTTAATTCTTGAAATTCACTAATTTCGTGGTCCGCTTGACCAATTAAATCATTACAATTAATTAAGGTTTTTTGTTGAGATGAAAAAAAGTCAATGGCACGAGAGGGATTCGAACCCACGACCTTCGGCTTGATACGCCGCTGCTCTACCACCTGAGCTATCGTGACCTCGATCCACTCGGACATCAATACATTATGTAAGGTGGGGTTGAGATGGGGAGTTGATGTCCGAGTGGATAGCTCAGGTGGTAGAGCAGCGGCGTATCAAGCCGAAGGTCGTGGGTTCGAATCCCTCTCGTGCCATTGACTTTTTTCATCTCAACAAAAAACCTTAATTAAGCTTAATTCTTGATATCGTCTCCTAGGACGGAGTCCATCTCGCTCATCGTATTGATGTACTAACGGCTACCATCACTGGATGGTTAAAATTTATTTTTTATTTCAATTAATTATTCTTTTTATGTAAGGTTTTGGTTGAGAAGAAAAACTTAATGACGAGCGGGATTCGAACCCACGTCCGAGTAGATCGAAGTCACGATTTGTGGTTAGAGCAGCGTCGTATTGAGCCGACGGTCGTGGGTTCGAATCCCGCTCGTGACACTAACTTTTTCATTTCAAACAAGCCTTACAAAAAAGAATAACTAATTGAAATAAGTAATTTATTTTTTATGTCGATCCACTCTATTCCATAGACATAGTCAACCAAAAACACACTTTCATAAAAAGTAATCTTTATTTTTTTAAACAAGTATCGATTTCGGGTTGCTGCCCACTTCCCCTTTGTTATGATTTATAATACAAAAAAGATGAAATATTAAAAATAAAAAACTTTTTATGAATGTGTGTTTTTGGTTGTCAACGTTTACGGAATATTGTGAACCCAGATAAAAAATAAATTTATTGATTTATTTTTAGTTCAATTGTAAGTTGTAAAACAAGCTAAATGTTTAACTCTTCATCGACCTGCTCTTCGCCCGAGGATTTTCCCAGATGTGATAGCTAATTAAGAACGTTATTCAGGCATTATCGCGTATGTACTTTCCGTTGGCTCTATAATGACGTTTCTGTTTCCTTTTCATCTTGTCGGGTGATTAATTGAAACTTTCCCACAATGCCACTGTTCCAGTTTGTTACTTTTGTTCGCGTTTTATATAATTTGAAAATTCGCTTTAAAAACTTATATTCAAACACACGACATAACTGTTCAAAACGGTTGTTGCCGGGATAAACAAAAATTGAGTTGGACACTTCGCTTTGATGGATAATTCAATCCCGAGGAGATTAAAAAACGATAAGTTCCTCGATTGTCAGGGATATTCATTTCCGTAAGATTTTCTTCCCTCCCAGTTCAATCAAACTTTTTAAACGTATTTAAAAAAAAAACACATTCTGGAAATTTGCCTGTCAAAAGGATCGATGCTTACTATTAATCTGGACAAATGTCTTCGTGTAGAAAGTGTATTGCCATTTCCCAAATACCATTATTTTTATAAAATGATTTAATAGAGATGATCAATAAAAATAAGTTTCACGGATTTTTCTAGAGATAAGCAAGCTAACGAGCACAATCGTAAAATAAAACGGCCCTCATGAACTTATGAAAGGACTTGACTTCACACAGAAGATGGCAAAATGCCGAAACATCCTGATGAGGATAAGGAGGCCTAAATGAACGGTAACGACTAAATTAAATTAATTTTTTCAAACTTCTATAGTTTCGTGTTTTGGGTATAAAACTCATAGAATCCTTTTACTTCAAAGTATGGACACTTAAAGTACAAGAATTGAACGACGTCAGGGTTATAAGCAGGGTGATGCAAGACTTAGATTTAGCATAACACATGAGCGACGGAAATAATAATAATAAAAAAGAAACCGCAAAATTAATCCATGAAAAGTACCTGATTCATCTGATAAATGAGTCTAGACTTCACAGAAATTAAAAATACGCACTGAAGTTAAGACAATTCCGAAGCGCGTCAGACAGGCCGACCCAGCGAGAATAGACATACCAAAACGACCAAAAATTTCTTTAGTTACGGGGCACTGACTTTGATCTTATCAAGTCCCGAATCCTCCGTGAATTTCCCAAAAAAGCTATAATTTACCTCACATACCTCTACAAGAGTATACTCCGCACCACACACTTCCCCTTGCTTTGGAAATACTCAAATATCATCCTATTCCCTAAGCCCGGAAAACCCGCCCATAATGCACGTTCCTACCGTCCAATCAGTCCAAAAAATATTTGAGAAGATCCTATTAAAACGTTTGATCCCTTCACTTAAATCTTCTCCCAGACCACCAATTTGGTTTTCGCTCCCAACACTCCACGACCTAACAGGTGCTTCACGTTGTAGACCACATATCCTCATCCCTCGAGAGAAAATAATACTGTGCGGGAGCCTTCCTAGACGTGTCACAGGCGTTTGATCGTGTATGGCACAAAGGTCTCCTGAACAAATTAAAGCTCGTCCTTCCAAACCTTACTGGACGGCAAAGGTCGGACTACTCCGACTACTGTTCTGTGGGAGCGGGAGTACCACAGGTAGTGTGCTCGGACCTCTCTTTACCTCCTCTACACATCAGACATCCCATCCACACCCTTGCATCCTTCGCCGAAGACAGCCGTCTTTTCGTCCAATCCCGATCTTGAAAAAGCTTCGGAGGAGCTCCAATCACATGTACAACGGATTGCAGAATGGAACAAAATATGGAGACCTAGAGAAATATTGAAAACAAGTGCACCCATATTACATTTACCCTCCGACCCTCCGAAGCAAAACTCCTCACACGATACCCCTCAACAACATCTCTATTCCAGAAGCCGACTCCGTACGATACCTTGGGCTCTATTTTGACTCACGACTGACGTGGAAACAACACAACCAAATAAAAACACAGGAACTAGACGATTCGGACTACTGTGTAAATTACTCGGACGCAAATCTAATTTGTCGACAAAATTACTGTAACAGATTGGACATACGGAACTGTGGGGCACCGCTAAACCTACCAACATCCAACGAATTCACTCCTTTCAATCCAAAGTCCTTAGAATTATAGTTAACGCTCCTTACCATGTCTCGAACGTCACCCTCCACAATGACCTCAAAATACCCTTTTAATAAATTAATCCTGTCCAAATTCACCCAGTTCCATGACAAACTCTCCACTCACCCCAACCCACTAGTCCAATCCATGTCCAGCATAATCCATCTCTACATCCTGTCCGCGATTAAAGCGGAGATGGCCTCGGGACCTGCTCATCAAGGACTAACCTTGCACAAAACTGGGAAACCAACAATGGTTAGCCACTGCCCTCAAGACTATACAGTGTATAATGTAAATATGTAAATAACCTCAAATTACAAGATGTATTAATACAGTTAGTAATAAAAAATAATTAAATAAAAAAAATAAGTTACGGGGTATAAAATTCATTGACTTCTTTAACTTCAACGTATCGATCATTGTTAAAAAAAGAACCTTTTTCGGAAATTCTTGGATAGACAAATGGCGCGACGTCAGGGTTACAAGCTGGGAGAGGCAAGACGCTTCTCGCATTTACTTATGAATAAAGTGAACACACTCTTCCTCATATACGTGTACAATCTAATAAGCCTTAAACACGAAAGGCACGGATAAAGGGTCAGACAGACGTCAGGGTTATAAGCAGGGAGAAGCAAGACGCTAAAAAAAAACTATTGGAAGTTCACACTGCGACTAATATACCCTCTTGGAATACCCCAAAGAAGCAACTTTCAAGTTTGGTAAGATTGCGAGCTTAGTATCGTTGTAATCAGTTCTCAAATAGTATGCTATGCTTGTACAAAAGGAAGGTAAAGTTATGTTATAATCTGCATAAGATACATGTCACAGGACTCTATTGAAATCTTTGGTATTTTCATGTATATATTGTATTTTATCAATAAATTTATTATTCAAGTTGATCAATACGACGATAGTTTGCTTTTTTTAAAACGGTCGTACATAAAGCTTTGGGTCAATAGTCAATCTGGATCATGTTCACATTTTACTACGTAGTTTCACCGAACCCAAAGTTGGAGCTTTTTTACACCCCCTCATTGCTTACGGTTGATAAAAAAATCCCCACTTGTGTTACCCTTAGTCTTTTATGTTTTCGAGTAAATTTATCCGAGGATTTACATTTTGACGGGATAATCCGAATATGCAGTTTCCCAAGATGAAAGCCCAGTTTGGGACAATAATCCATTCTTGGCTTACAACATCGAGTAATTCAGCACTATCTATAGTCCCCGGAGGAGGATTTTTAAGGTGCTGTCCCAAATATTGAAAAACTTCAGGAACCAACTCCCAAGAGTGCTTAGAGCTTAATGAGATTCGAAAATGCTTTAAAGATAAAATACATTTTGCACACAAACTTGTTTTACGACAAAGTTTCTATAATAATTTTTAAATTAATTAAGGTTTTTAGTTCAGATAAAAAAGTCAGTGTCACGAGCGGGATTCGAACCCACGACCTTCGGCTAGATACGGCCCTACTCTACCACTTGATTATTCAGAAATCGAAAGATGCGGTCTGGTGTGATGTAGGCTTTAGAAAAACATTTTCTTTATCGTGCCAACGTTTCGATCTTTATTGAGATCATCTTCAGGGCTCAAAGTGTTCGTCTTCTGTGTATTGTGCCATTCTTGGTGTCGTGTTGAGAGTGCCCTACCACTTGAGTTATCGTGACTTCGATCCACTCGGACACTAACTTCCCTCAAACCCACCTTTTTTTAATTTTCCCTCCTTTTAATCCTTAATCCTTAATTGGTCAAGCGGACCAGGAAAACTAGTTTAATATTTTTAAAGTATTTATTCTAAAAGTAATTTAAGAAATATTAGTTGTGTGTATGGTTTTGATACTATGATCTTATTTACTTTGTATATGCCAAATATATTATTAAAAACAGACTTATAATTAAATTGTTGAAAATTTAAAAAAATTCTTACTTGGCATTGTGTTAGAAGATCCGTAATAATATGAAGGATAAGCCTGTCCACCTCCGCCTCCTTGGTATCCTCCACCTTCGCCCTTGTCCCAAGGATCACGCTTTTGATAGGTTTCCCATCTCGAAGGTCCACCCATCCAATTCGTTACAAGTCCTCCTGGACGGTTATCCCACCTCTGCCATCTCTCGTCGTATCTCTGATCCCAATTGGAAGGATTTTCTATCGGACGGATAGTCCCGGTCCAGACCCTCTTGTCGTCGTAACCTGGTGGATTAGAAAGGGCTTTCGTATGAATCGGTTTTCCCTTTTTTTAACAACTGTCGGGAGATCTCATAGATGAGGGTTTATGGGTTTTATTCGATTGTTTTTTCGTGTAAATATTTTTTATGCATCTCATTGTATAAAACAACGCCACTCTTAATTGTCTAAAATTTCAAACGATTTTTTTATAAGCAATTAAAAAATACTCTATTTGAATATGTCAAAATATGACTTTATATACATGAAAATTGTTTTCATAGTTTATTCAAAAATTCATTATTCATCCAGCAGCCGTTTCATTTGCGTTGATGTGTTTTGAAGCATGTTGCCCGTTAATGCATGATTTTATTTATGCTAAACGTTACGTATGTGAGATTTGTCATCGTAACATCAAAAGAAAATAAGATAAAATTTATTCCAAATGAAAAACAAGTTCCAATGAATAATTTTTACGTTAGGTCTCGATTGGTTAATAAAGTTTAAAAATTTCCGTTCCACCTCATTCGGAATACACATGTTGAAACGACAACCCGACTGTGGTGGGAGGATTAATGGAGCTTTTTCGAAAATTCAATTAAAGTTTACGCGAAAGTAGCTCCCGGCTTCTGCCTTTTTTGCGGCTTTTAATCGATACTATAATTGAAATATGTTTCAACCAAACCGACCCAACGAAGGTTTTGTTAAAATAAAAATTAGCTTCATTTTCAGTGGTATGTTGTTTGCCCAGTATGTTGGGATGTGTAGTGAACGTATGCCATGTCAGTATAGCGATGCTTTCTCATCGTATGGTTTTAAGTATGATGTGCTATTTTTGTATTTCGTTATTCGTCGAGTATTCCACATTTGTCTTTTGAGATAAATATGACTCTAACATCAAATATAATAAATAAATCTTTACTTATTTTCTGTACTAAAAGTTGAATATTGTCCTTCCTGTAATTTGTTATAAAAAAATCTGCAAACCTAACAGCAGTCTCATTCGAGAATGTTCTCTTTGCGAGATAAACTCCTAAGAGAATAAGTTCCATTATTTCCTTCTGGCCTTTACTTGCCTGAGCTTGCGTGGCATAAACGTTACGTTAAAGGTGCAGAAACACTTAAAGCCTAGGAGAAACCAAACCTCCAATCAATCAAACAAAGCTCAATGGCTCCAAAAAACCAGTCCTCAGGGCCTGGACATTACCCCGGTTTCTAAATTTAGTAACTTCTTTCAAGACAAAAAATAGTGAATTTATTTTTTATGTTGATCCGCTCTATTCCATAGATCAGTCAACCAAAAACCCACTTCATTAAAAAGTAGTCTTTATTTTTTAAAAACAAGCATCGATTTCGGGCTGATGCTCGCTCCCCCTCGTAATCTCTTATGATTTGAAATACAAAAAAGGTCACATATTAAAACAAACCCCAAAAAATCCAACTTTTTATGAAAGTTTGTTTTTGGCTGTCTACGTCTATGAAATAGAGTGAACTAAGACAGAAAATAAATTTATTGATTTATTTTTAGTTCAAATCGACAGCCGGATTTGTAAGGGTTAGAGAATGGTAAGTTGTAAAATAGATAATAAAAAGGCCATCATGATTAATGATTTTCCCTGGAGACAATTTATCTCAATATTCATCGATGATGACTGTGACTCTGAAGATGACGGCCATTGGCGAAAAGTAAACAAAGGACGATGTGTGGAAGGCTTAAGAAACATGACGGCAGACGCTAAAAGCCGTTTAAGAGAACGGACGCCATTTTTAAAGAAGTTGTTCAATATAGTTGATTATCTCAGATTATTTTTGTTTATTTCTTTTTTCTTTCAATCTCATATTTTTCTTCCCTCGATTCCATCAATCCGAACCGTCACATACATACAGAACCCAAGAAATTAATGTTTCCTCATGTTTGTAGGTGTACATGATAATGATGGATAGTCAATCAACAGATGACTTTCAGTTGAATCGGAAGTTAATCGTCGCAAAGCTTGCGTACAATAAAAGTTACGAAAGGTGCAGAAATACTTAAAGCCTAGAACAAACCTCCTTGGAATTTGATCAATCAAACCATCGTTCAATCAACCAAAGCTCAATGGATCCAACAAACCAGTCCTCAGCACCTGGACATATCCCGGTCACTAAAAAGGTAAATTTTTTAGTAACTTCTTTCAGGACATGGCAGGTGTACTTATTAGACAAAAAACAGGATTTTTTTTCTTTTATCAACACACAAACCAGACCTCGCTCCTTTGGATTACTTGTGCCAGTTCATATCGTAATTTGGTAAAATGATGATGAATATAGATAGAAAGTCGGAGTTTTTTCTTCCCAAAGCACTGCAGCCTTCTTGCTTATTGTTATCCCTAGTTTCTTAGTTAGGTGCAATCGACTCGATCCTTCTATGGAATGGTAGGTCACTGACTGTTGTTGCTACAATTCTAGGGTTTTCTTTGTATCCCAGGTTATGTCTCAATGAAGCGCACAGCTTAGCTGTTTCTTATCCTATATTGCATAACCTACAAATGGGGTCGTCATGTTATTACCCATGTTGTGTCAGATGCCTTCATAAGCTTACTCTCTTCAACATATCTAGAGTTTGTCCACTTCTCCTTTTGTCTTGTTTTATTGCATTTGGAGTATTGTTTGTTTTTGTTATATCAAGAACTGGTTCAGGCTCTATATTTGATGTTCGGCGCGACGCAACGTCCACATCCGGCATGAGCACGGTTTCTGGCAAGGTTATAGAGGTTAGGCCTGGACCTGATACCACCAACCGCAGAGGCCGGTGAGGACTTGCAAGCATTCACCACGCCTCCTTATCATTTTAATGTCCTGGCAAGTCGAGATTACTTGAGAGACGTTACGGATTTATTTAACAACCCAATACAATACACACAGCAGAAGATATGTCCGAATATTAATTCACTATTTTCGTGGTCCGCTTGACCAATTAATACAAGACAATTAATTAAGGTTTTTAGTTGAGATGAAAAAAGCTAATGGCACGAGAGGGATTCGAACCCACGATCTTCGGCTAGATACGCCGCTGCTCTACCACCTGAGCTATCGTGACCTCGATCCACTCGGACATCAACTCCCCATCTCAACCCCACCTCCAAACCGATTAAACGACATTTGAAAAATGGCAAAAGGAGGGAAAACTCATAAGGTGGGGTTGAGATGGGGAGTTGATGTCCGAGTGGATCGAGGTCACGATAGCTCAGGTGGTAGAGCAGCGGCGTATCTAGCCGAAGATCGTGGGTTCGAATCCCTCTCGTGCCATTAGCTTTTTTTCATCTCAACTAAAAACTTTAATTAATTGATATGTCCGAATGTTAATTTAAAAAAAATTATAAAGAAAATTTTAGAATTTTAAGTTAATAGTGTTAAGAAACAGTGAAGCAGAACTTTTTACAATAATAATGAATAAGTAGATTTATTTTAAAAGGAAAGAACCAATTGATTTGCAAGATTTGTGTTTTAATCTTTTTCCCAAATCAAGAATCTGAATTTAGGAAATTTTGGTCTGCCTTGGTGCCTGTTAGTCTGTCAGGTGCCGTTAAGTAAACCATTTTTTTTGCAGTTGATATGTGTGACACTTGTTCAAATGAGAACACGTGGGAGGATTTATGCAGCTTTTTCGAAATTCAATTAAATTTAAGTGAAAGTAGCCCCAGCTTCTGCTTTATTTGTGGCTCGCAATCGGTACTATAATTAAAATCTATTTCAACCAAACTAACTCATCGAAGGTTTTGTTAAAATAAAAATTAGCTTCATTTTCAGTGGTATGCTGTGTGTCAAGTATGTTGGCATGTGTAGTGAACGTATGCACTTTCAGTATAGCGATGCTTTCTCATCGTATGGTTTTAAGTATGATGTGCTATTGTTGTACTTCACCATTCATCGAGTGTTTCATGTTTGTTTTTCTGATAAATATGGCCGTAATATCAAATATAATAAATAAATCTTGTTTTGTGTACTAAAAGTTGAATGTTATCCTTCTTGTAATTTGTTATAGAAAGATCTACTTACAACCTTCCATGCTAATTATGAGTCAACTCATAAACTTAAACTGCAAACCTAACAACCGTATCATTCGAAAATCTTCTCTTTGCGAGTTAAACTCCTAAGAGAGTATGTTCCATTATTTGCTGTCTGGCATTTACTTTATGGATTTAGCAAAAAAGTTTTCACATGTAACGAACTTTGAAAGGAAAAGTTTATCACGCTGGATTTGAAAAGCTCATCAAGCTTGGCATTGTGGCAGTAGAGCGATGAATGAATTTGACCTGACGGACCTGGAGCAATTAGTTTTCAAATTTTATGTTGTTTAATGTTGTATTACAAGTGTTTTTATGTAGTTGATGTAAATTTGGGCCACCTGTAAGATCGAGGGGCTGTGTTTTAATCAAATGGTTACAAATGGCAAGAAAGGGTCTGTAATAGTGATAATCGGGTAGACGGTAAATCACCCGGATATTAGAGTACTCTGATGGTACTTAAGTGGCAGAGGGATATTTTATTACGCAATTTTCAAACAACGAGGTATGCGGCCTTATGTGTCTCTCTCGACTTGTACAGCGTTAAATACAAGGACATTTTAAGCCGAGTTATTAGGCCATTTAATTAACATCAGCATGAACTTAATTAGCATTTAGTCTCGTGTAAAGCGAAGTAATTTCACGTCGGAATTGAAATTACCTCGGTCCAAACCTGGCCGCCACGACTTCATGTCCTTCTGCTGCCACTCCGGGCTCAAATTGTCGTAGCCGTTTCCTCTGTAATTGTCCGGTGGGGTTTGGGAACATCTTGAGCACAAATTGGTCGGCCTCCTGCTGTCCCAGCCGAAGGATTGGACCCCGTTTCGAGAGTCCCATCCTCCGGGGGTTCCTCGGCTGTAATAACCATCGCTCCTCTGTTTCCTCTCTTTAGTTTCGGCCGAACAAAGCGTCAAAAGTCCGACCAACACCTGTAAAAGTTTTAAATCCTGTTAACAATTAATTAAACAAACTTAGAAGTTAAGTCAAGCTTAGATTAAATTTATACTATTAGAAAATCATGTTTTGGTCAGACCGCAGGCTCGCGGTACTCATAGTTTCTTGCCAGTTTACAAAATTACATATCGAATTTTATCAAAGTTCCGTTACGACGAACGCGCGGTGAGAAACTTAGAAGGGCTTTTTGAGCTTGAAGGATCGATATTTGAAAGTTCTCACCACCGGGAGGGATTATCTGGCCCGGCAAGTCTGAAGTGATTTGAAGAAAACCGCAGGAGCTATAGTTTCTACTTAGGATGTTAGAAATCATCTCCGTGAATAACATTTGCCAACGAGAAGTTCATAAAGCACGGAAACCCCGAGGGCTTACTCGAGCCTGCCGATTAAATTGGATAAAACTTGTTTTCAGGCAAATCGAATGTATTAACTGTGCGATACAAGATCGGATGCCGTGCTGATCCCGAGTTTATTTACAAGACAAAAAGTGATCTAAGTAGATCAAGTAAATCCATCAAGGGAGATATTTCGTTCAGTCGTAAAAAAATATAGAGTACTTTTCTGAAAGTACATAGCCCGGCATGCTCGGAATGTTTACACCCCTTTCTTAAAAAAACAGGGAAAATATTCAGGTCGACAATTTTTGAACAGTATTTCACACAAACATACAAAAATTATAAAATCCAAATAAATTACAAATTGCTTTTAAACAATAATTTTATCGATTTTTTTGCCGACGAACGGCTAGGTCTGAGCACGATCTCTATATTGTTTCCCTGTTCCGCATTTTTTCTTTGACCCTGGGCAGTATTTTCTATTTTTATGTTTCTATTTTCTTCCAACCCTCGTAATATCCGCAACCCTTTATCGTACGGTACTCCATCATCCTTGGTATACTAATAATTGCTTCTTTACAAAATCAGATCGACTGTATATATTTTTTGACAAGTCGCCGATGTATTACATTTATAATTTCCGTCGACGACCTGCCTTCATCAATACCAACATAACTATTACCTGAACGGTAAACATATATGGTGGGCTATCATGGTATTCCCATGACAACTGGCCATCATTCACAAATTCGGATATTCCGTCGAACAACACCTGTTGCCGTTCATACTCATTCAGACAACATTCTCGCTAATAAATACATTTACTCCTCAGTCACATACAAGAGTTTTCAAATTAACACAAATAGGTTAGCCATCGAGGCATTTGGACATTTTGTGGAACGGCCTGTTGTTATTCATACTCATTCATTCAACATTCTCGCTAATAAATACAGTTACTCATCAGTCACATTCAAAAATATTTCCAATTAATACTTATAGGGTAGCCATCGAGCCATTTGGATATTCCGTCGAACAACACCTGTTGCCGTTTATACTCATTCAGACAACATTCTCGCTAATAAATACAGTTACTCCTCAGTCACATACAAGAGTTTTCAAATTAACACATGTAGCCATCGAGGCACTTGGACATTCCGTGGAACGGCCTGTTATTATCCATACTTATTCATACAACATTCTCGCTAATAAATACAGTTACTCATCAGTCACATACTAGAGTATTTCCAATTAACACATATAGAGTGGCCATCGAGGCACTTGGATATTCCGTCGAACATCCTGTTGTCGTTCATACTCATTCAGACAACATTTTCGCTAATAAATATAATTACTCCTCAGTCACATACAAGAGTTTTCAAATTAACACAAATAGGTTAGCCATCGAGGCATTTGGACATTCCGTGGAACGGCCTGTTGTTATTCATACTCATTCATTCAACATTCTCGCTAATAAATACAGTTACTCATAAGCCGTTTGTACACCTCATACATACTAGGCTATTTCAAATTAAAACACAGAGCGGCCAACGGGGTGGCAACTACATCATTCGTACCATAACACTTAGATGCAGGCCATCAAAATTCCGTCAAACTGCCCGTTTTCGTTCATACTCATTCATACGACAGTCTTGCTAATAAATACATTGACTCATCAGTAACATACTAGCGCATTTACAATTAAAACACATAGGGAGGCCATCGAGGAATTTAGGCGTTCAATTGAACGGTTTGTTTTAGTTCACACTCATTCATGCAACATTCTCGCTAATAAATACAGTTACTCATTAGTCACATACAAGAGTTTTCAAATTAACACAAATAGGTTAGCCATCGAGGCATTTGGACATTTTGTGGAACGGCCTGTTGTTATTCATACTCATTCATTCAACATTCTCGCTAATAAATACATTTACTCCTCAGTCACATACAAGAGTTTTCAAATTAACACATGTAGCCATCGAGGCACTTGGACATTCCGTGGAACGGCCTGTTATTATCCATACTTATTCATACAACATTCTCGCTAATGTTACTCATTAGTCACATACTAGAATATTTCCAATTAACACATATAGGTTGGCCATCGAGGCAGTTGGATATTCCGTCGAACGGCCTGTTGTCGTTCATACTCATTCATAGAACATTCTCGCTAATAAATTCGGTTACTCATTAGTCACATACTAGAGTATTTCCAATTAACACATATAGGTTGGCCATCGAGGCAGTTGGATATTCCGTCGAACGGCCTGTTTCAACCATACTCATTCATACAACATTCTCGCTAATAAATACAGTTACTCATTAGTCACATACTAGAATATTTCCAATTAACACATATAGGGAGGCCATCGAGGAATTTAGGCGTTCAATTGAATGGTTTGTTTTAGTTCACACTCATTCATGCAACATTCTCGTTAATAAATACAGTTACTCATTAGTCACATACAAGAGTATTTCCAATTAACAAATATAGGTTGGCCATAGAGGCAGTTGGGTATTCCGTGGTACGGCCGGGTGTCGTTCATACTCATTCATACAACATTCTCGCTAATGTTACTCATTAGTCACATACAAGAGTATTTCCAATTAACAAATATAGGGTGGCCATCGAGGCACTTGGATATTCCGTCGAACGGCCTGTTGTCGTTCATACTCATTCATACAACATTCTCGCTAATAAATACAGTTACTCATTAGTCACATACTAGAGCATTTCCAATTAACAAATATGGGTAGCTATCGAGGCACTTGGATATTCCGTCGAACGGCTGTTGTCGTTCATACTCTTCATACAACATTCTCGCTAATAAATACAGTTACTCATCAGTCACATACTAGAGTATTTCCAATTAACACATATAGGTTGGCCATCGAGGCAGTTGGATATTCCGTCGAACGGCCTGTTTCAACCATCCTCATTCATACAGCATTCTCGCTACTAAATACAGTTACTCATAAGCCGTTTATACACCTCATACATACTAGGCTAATTAAAACACAGAGAGGCCAACGAGGTACTCGATATTCTTCCAGTGGCAACTACAAACACTTAACTAACTAGATGCAGGCCATCAAAATTCCTTCGAACTTCCCGTTTTGTTCATACCCATTCACACACCTTTTCGCGAATGAATACATTCATCCGAAAAAGTAACAGAACATATCTGCCTACGAGCAGATAATATTATTTCATACACATTCATCGCTAGGTTCTCACGATAGTCTCTGCTAAGCCACTAGATAGGTGAGATTTGAGATGTTGAATTTTATTTCCATGAAAATCCAATATGAGATTATTATATATATATTATATATTAATTATTATATATGTTAACAAAAGTAAAATTGCATAAAATATAGAAGATTACTGTACGTTTAGATAAATGTTAAATTTAAAAAAAAAATAATCTAAAATCTCAATTTATCCAACAAGTATATTTATCTCTCGATATTCTTTATGTCCAAAAGCATTTATATATTTAGAACGTAAATAGAAAAGCCCTTCGTAACCGGTATTTACTCTTCGGCTTACAATCACAAAGTGGGTTTAAAAGGGAGAAAGTGTATTAGGGAAAGGATTCCCTGATAGGAGCCGACGTCCGGGTTGGAATTTCTCCAGCGTAAATCTTCGGCTTGTTCCGAGTATGGCCATAAACGTTTCCAAAGTCATAAACGGTTTAAAGCACCTCACACCCGCCCCCATTTCGGCCTTCGTTATTACTTCTGAAAACGACTTTACATTCGTTGGGTTACCAGGGGATTCTAGCGGGTTTTGAGAATGATGTAGGTCGGAAAGCTTGCAATAATGGGACCGACCGCAAGTTGGCAGCAACTGTGTATTATCGAACTTTAACGGTACTACATTTCAAACAATTTGGCTAACCCACACTTAAAAACAGAGCTTACATTTTTGAATTAACCATATTTCAATAGCACTCTCTGTTCACTCTTAAGACGTATTATCTTTAAAAAATATATATTTTATACTTATAATTACATTAATAAATTTCTTACATATAGCATATATAGAAATATTGATATATGTAAATATATAGAAATATTTTTATAAAAAACATAGATAATTACTGACGGTCCCAAGGTTTTTGTCAAATTCAGATTATCAATTACTTAATTATATAATTATAGAAAAATTATTGCTTATCTGTTCTTTCCTCTCCTTCCAACTAATTGAAACTTACAAAATATTAAGCTCATTTTGCTTGAAAATGTTTGTATTTTTGAAAACTTAATTTTTCAAAATAAATACAAGAAAAAATTGAGTCTTAAAGTTTTCAAAAAACTAGTGGCTTTGTTTAGACAATTTTTAACTTCTATCCAAGTAAAATTCACAGATTTGAAGACATTTGTAATAAAGCTACTAACGAATTTGTAATTATCGCTATGTTTTAGGAATATTCTTAATTGTCAATACAACACTGTTTGGCTGATTTGGTCTCATTCTATCTCATTGTCTGTCTGTCTCTCTGGTTCTCCCTGAGTAAATTTTCTTACTAATAGTAGTAGTACTCTTTCTTTCTTCTCCCTTTTATTTTGATCTCTGTCTCTCTCTCATGTTTCATACTCACTACCACCCTCCAAAAGTTCTTATTAGCAGAAAG